AGCCCTTGCGCAGGTCGAATCGTACGGTAATATGGAGCAGCTTGTTTTACTCCCTTTCTCAAGCCATGTCCTTCTTCGTCATCTCATTAATTTTCTGGTACGGCTCACTCCTCGTCTCGACCTTTAAAATTACCATCACGGGATTCTTCATTGCACTTATGGTAAGTCGAGAAGAGACCTCATTTAGCCTTCCATTGATTTATGTCGTGTCAGAGCACAACCTTTGGGGCAATTCAAGCTGGCAATGTCTTCGCCTTCGTACCGGATATCTCATCTGCCAAGGGTGCTGGTGGAGCAATCATCAAGCTCATCGATTCGACCCCAGAGATCGATGCTGAGTCGCCTGAAGGGAAGAAGATATCCGGAGAAACCGTCAGGGGCCAAATTCGCTTTGAGAACGTTCATTTCCGTTACCCCACTCGTCCTGGCATCCGTGTCCTCCGCGGCCTATCGTTCAAAGTTGAGCCAGGTACATATGTTGCTCTAGTTGGTGCCAGTGGGTGCGGTAAAAGTACAGTGTAGGTGTCCATTTTCCTCGACATTTCAGTGATCTCATGCTGTACTGCAGCATCCAGTTGATTGAGCGATTCTATGATCCGTTGTCTGGCCAGGTTCTGCTTGATAACGAACGCATCGACGAGTTCAACATTCAGGAGTACAGAAAGCAGCTTGCACTTGTGTCCCAAGAACCAGTAAGCAAATAGAATCCTGGGGGGAGTTTGTCTGATCTCTCATTCATCATTCAGACACTCTACGCCGGCACCATTCGCTTTAACATCCTGCTAGGTGCCATCAAGCCAGAGTCCGAGGTAACTCAAGAGGAACTTGAAGCTGTTTGCCGCAACGCCAATGTTCTGGATTTCATTAAATCTCTTCCCAAGTATGTCTCCAGTTGTCACTTTAAGCGAATACAGTACTGACATAACGATCAGTGGCTTTGACACCGAAGTCGGTGGGAAAGGGTCGCAACTTTCTGGTGGGCAAAAGCGTGCGTGACCGATGATTTTCTTGTTTCTCTCCAAAGTGTTTACTCCCCAATTAGAGCGTATTGCGATAGCCCGTGCCCTACTTCGCAACCCGAAGGTTCTTCTGCTAGACGAAGCCACTTCAGCGCTGGATTCGAATTCTGAGAAGGTCGTACAAGCGGCCCTTGATCAAGCTGCGAAGGGTCGTACGACGATAGCAATAGCTCATCGTCTATCGACGATTCAGAATGCTGACTGCATGTAAGAATTCACTATTGATGTCCCAGAGACAATCCGTATTGATACTTTCTTTCGCAGATACTTCATTAAGGAAGGCCGCGTCAGCGAAGCTGGCACTCATGATGAACTCCTTTCGCTGAAGGGCGACTACTACGAATATGTCCAACTGCAAGCATTAAGCAAGAAATAGATGTCCAGTCATGTTAGTACGAGTGGTATATTCTCGATGAACTTTAGAAGTGTAATTACCATATCATCATACTCCACTCATCACTCGGGCATATCGTAATTCAATAGTAATAAATATACGGAGCAGGTCAATGGACTTACAGTTGTTTTTATGACAATGCATATATGATTGCGGGAGCTACTGTGTTGTGGCCAAGGCAGCGTCAAAAATGATCAAACCTGTTTGATTAAGTGATAACTCTTTCTACCAGATGCAAACCTGAGTAAGGCTCTCGCAAAGGCCTCTATAAAGTGTACCATCACAAGTTGAGACAGGGGTTGGATTTAGGATTGAGGTTTTGTGATAGAGCTGCACGATCTCGCGAAGATGAACATGTACGGAAAACGGACAAAAGATTTCAGTCTGTGACACGATATTGAGCTCAAGGAGTCCAGGAACAAGTAACATGATGTTAGTAGCCATAATCAAGCAGCTGGCGAAAGCAACAGTATTACAGCAGGTGTACTCGCACGCCCTCGGAACAGCATAGAGCTGTCGATGGAAATGATAGTGGCATGGGTGAAAATTTAAGTGCGAGTCTACCACAACGGAACGAATCGACAAGGCAACCTATGCGAAGTACATCAAATTGTTCTTCTTCTTGCTTTGTACTGCACGACACAGTTAGAAAGTTATCAAAGATAGTCGTTGAAAATAAGTTGCTCACCCTCAGCGATTCCGCTTAGGAAATGTTCGTGCCCAAGCTTGGTAGCACCCTCACGCAGGGCGATCATACCAGCCTCCACACAAGTCGCCTTCAACTGAGCGCCATTAAACTCGTCCGTGCTACGCGCTAACTCTTCAAAGTTCACGTCTGGGCTGACGGTCATTTTCCGTGAGTGAATTTCTAGGATACGGGCGCGAGCTGTCTCGTTTGGTAGTGGGAATTCGATTTTACGATCCAGACGACCTGAACGGAGAAGGGCGGGATCAAGAATGTCAATCCGATTGGTCGCTGCGATGACCTGGACAAGGTGAACTGAGTATAGGCATATCACATCGATAGTGAATAGTATCACCTTGATTCGCTGGTCGCTCGAGAAACCATCAAGCTGGTTCAACAATTCTAACATCGTTCGCTGCACTTCACGATCACCACTCTTTTCTGAGTCGAAACGCTTTGTCCCTATAGCGTCCAATTCATCAATGAAGATAATCGCAGGTGCTTTCTCTTTGGCGAGTTCGAACGCGTCACGAACAAGCTTAGCACCATCACCGATGAACATCTGAACAAGTGAAGGACCGGCAAGCTTGAGGTAGCAAGCCTTTGTTTGCGCTGCACATGCACGGGCAAGGAGAGTTTTCCCAGTACCTATCAAATATATAAGCAATGGTGCGCATGTAGATAGGATGCATACGTACCTGGTGGCCCGTACATCAAACAACCTTTCGGCGGTTTTATGCCCAGGGTCTTGAACTTGTCTGCCTGCTCCATCGGAAGAACAATGGCTTCGACCAACTCTTCAATTTGCTTCTCCAAGCCACCAATATCAGTGTAGGTTTCTGTTGGGCGTTCATCGACCTCCATTGCCTTGACGCGTGAATCATATTCAGTCGGAAGCTTGTCGAGGATCAGATAAGAGTCTTTGTTAACACCGACAAGGTCGGAAGGTCTCAACTGGTCGGCAGGCACGAGACCTATAAGAGGGAGGAAAACAGTTTGTCGGGTGGATGTCTTCACGACGGCACATTTGCCCTTGCGCATTGAGTCCAAGTCACGATTTGCCCCGTCTTCCTCTGATTCAGGATCGACGTCTAAGATCTATGGCAGATAAACAACGGCATGTGACGATATAACCTGGTTGTGCGTACCTCTACCACATTTCCAACAAGATACGGCAAGACTTTATTTTGCTTAATCTTCTCCCCATTGTCGCGTATCTTCTCCTTCATTACGTTTTGCTCATGTTGTAATCGTAGCGTGTCCGACTTCATGACCTGCATCACCAGGACAAAGTACTCTTGAGCTGAATTCCGGTAAATGTATTGCAAAATATAAACGACGCACCTTAATATCATTATCAATTAGCCGTATTCTGGTCAAAATCTCCTCCGTAGTCAAAGCCTTTATCTCTTCTGGAATGTCATCCCAAGTCTCTTCTGCGGGTTGATCTGGCTCTACGTCCATTTCAACGCCGTCCTGACCTGGAGAAGGTGAAGTTTCTGGTTGCTGTGGCGCATCTGGCTTCTGCACGTTGTTATCTGCAGGAGGTTCTGATGGAGGGTCTGAGGAGGGAGTTGAGGACATGTGAATTGAGAAGCGGGTGGTAGAAGTTGATGATACAGTGCTGAACTGAGATACTCGCCGACGCGTAACCCCTCCCAAAAAGGGAAAATCGGAGTGGTACAAACAACGTGACCTCTCTAGGACGAGAGTCGACGAGATTCTATCATATTTGTGCATCACTAGCTATAGCTAATTAGTACTGGTCCGAAACCATGTAATATTCAGCAATGAAACCAGTGTTTTTTTTTGTTAAAAATTCTTATTGATATAAACATTAAGTCGTTGAAATCGATGCAACCATAAAGAATTGCTTGACGAAGTCTAAGCCTCCCATCATGATATATACTGGGGCGCATTCAACATGTCAGTCAAGTTATTCACAACCTCTGCGGGGTCAGAAAATACCCTGTGAGGGATATATACAGACTTGGCAGTACCAGTGAAGGTTTATTACATAATATTTGTCCTTGTTGAATTCCAAAGCTTTCACAATTGCCAAATGAAGAATGTGCAGCCACATTTGTCCTTACTCGAGGGTTATTAGCTGTGTGAATGGCACTTAATCTCTGAGTCCATCGGATTCTTGCTATGGCGAGCAAAGAACCTCCAACCGCGGAGGAGAAAGCACGATATGAAAAGGTGAAAGATGAACTTGTGAAGATGATTCAAAAGAAAAGGGCCGCGGACAGACAACTTGTACGTTGACCCGCTTTGTTTAACTTGAATTACTCAAACCGCTCCATGTAATCTACAGGCACAGACTGAAGTCCTGATACATACACTGGAATCGTCTTATCTCGCTGAAACTTCCACTACGGGTAATATTATCCATGGATTCGATGGATATCTCAAGCCCACTCAGGGTGCTGCGGCGCGTAGAAAGCACGATATTGGAGACGGCGACCGCTGGTTCTCAACAAGTAGTGGAACATGGCAGAAGGTTTGTCCAAGTAACCTAAAATATGGATAAATATCATTGAAGTGTTTCCCTTTTTCTTCTCAGTCCTTAGACCTTCTCGGAGAAGGTGAAGACTCGACACCTGCACCCGACGATATGAGGCTTCAAACAACACCAGGGCTGACCACTGTTGTCGTGCCTCCAGCTCCACGCACACAGGAGCTAACTGCTGCCCAGCAGAAAAAGTACCGTGACAGAGAATATCAGCGACGCAAACGTGCTATGCGACGAAGCGCGGGTACTGTCAGTGACGAAGACTCGCAGAGCATTGGTACAGGAAGGCGTCCAATGAAACGCGCGAGGATAGCGGATGATGATTAAGTTAGAGAAACTGTGGTATATGTACGTGTCATCGTTGTCTTTTTAGCTGTACAACTTTCTTTTACTTTTGCTACCTGTGTGTGCAACAGGTATCTCTCAAATCTGAGGAAATGTACAGCCATTATATATCCAATTTGCTAAGGAACTTCTTCACATTAGTTTCGTCCATCCCGCCGCCGTCTGGATCGACCGCCTCAATACACCGCATAATTGCAATCGTATGTTTTGTCTCCTTCGTGCTAACCCATACTTTTCCGTTCATTCCCACTGCCGCTTCCAGAGGGAAACGCGATCCTAGCAATGGCAGGAGAAAATGTTTAGGGTCAAGTAATCTGTATGAAAAGAATAATGAACAAGAGAGAAATAGCAACAAGAATCTAGCATACAGTCGGCTCATTTGTAAACTGCACTGAAGCACGAAACCATCCTTTAGCTCACCAAACCCATCAGCCTTGTGAGTTTGGGCATCGAAACACTCGAGTTCAGGCTCCATATCTTTATGTGCCAATGAAACGCGAGCATAAAGGAGTGAACCAACCTGGTTGATACATCAAGAAGCTATGCATTGACATTGCAGCTAAAAGGAACGTTGAAGTACCTTTAGACTCGGCTTGTTTCTTTTGGTTGCCCCTTCAAATGCCAAGCCATCCAGTGAAGCAGGATGCGCAGATCCAATGTCGACGCGCCAGCCCTCGCCACTCCGTCCAGTGACCACGCCAATCACACTTTCCTGTGGCGCCGGAACATACTGGAGATGGTTATTAGACGGCTAGCTTGCATGTTATGGAGTAGAGTGCCGTACTCTTCTTGAATTGCCCTCTACCCACCATTTGCTCTTGTTAGCTGAGTGGTTGAGGATGCCCGAACGAGTGGCAATAACAGGAGCTGACTTCGCTTGTTGCTGTGTCTCGCTCGATAATTGAAGAAGGCCGGGACCAAGCTTGAGGTTAACGTGCTGGGCTGGCACTTGCTCACCAGGAAGGACGATGGACATCATGGAACTGGAAAAGGAAAAAAAGGCACACTGCCTCCTGAATACGACTGAACATTAACCCTCACCGGCACTGGTCCTCAACTTGCTTTAGATGACAACTTGATCTACCATCCGCCGTCATTTATGGCTGCGACACCTTTGATGAATGAATTTCCCGAGCTAGCCCACCTTACGTGTGTATTGTGTGTACAGGAACCTGCATTTCTAGCTAACTCATCTTTTGCAGACGCGAAGATCTTGAAGACATTCTCAATGATCCCGCTTACTTCCAGAGCATATTCCATTCCTTGCGTCAAGTCAAGGAATTATACCAAGCTCAGGCAGAGCTAGGTATGGCAAATGAAGCCATCGCTCGTAAGTCCTCAATTATCCGTTGATATGCAGCACGCCAGACTCATCTCGCTTTAGGAACAAACCTATCACTGCAGGACCGTCTGTATGAGTTGCGAACTGAAACGCAAGAAGCCTTTGACCACGCTAAGTCTATGGAGTCTCGATGGAAGGATCTCGAGCGCGAACAAAGAGAGGTCTATCAAGTACGTTGCCGGATGCTACATACGAGCTAGCATCTGATGTTTCTGTAGAGGTTCGATCCTCAATTTCTTTTACTTCGCCTTCGTCATGCGACCACCGCGCAAGACGATGCATCAGAGGCTCTCGCGTCATCATTTGTGCAATCCTCTTCTTCGCCCTCCTCGGGTAACGATGCCTCAGATGTGGATGAGTTCATTAGAGAATTTAGAGAGTTGAGGAAAGTCTACCACAAAAGATTGATGTGGGGTGATCGGTGGGCTTCTGGACAGGTGTCTTGGGAGGATTGACTGGCTATTGTGAGTCTGTTTTGCCTTCTCTACCCCTTCTCTGACGCATATGAATTGTTCAGTATTACATTTATTTATGCACACAGCATACATTGGTTGTACCACTGTTATTTCAACTGCTGCTTGTAGGAATATGCCTGCGAATGGCGACCGTCTTATGTGACATAACAACCCAGTCTGTTGATTGGAATTCTTAGGTTTGATTCATACCTTCTTGTGCTCTTCAGCTTCCCCCCTCTTTGGCTGTCAGCCATGCCATGCAGGAGTATCTTGGACAAGTCCCCTGTCTGTCGTCCCGAGAGTAATATATACAGGTCTAGAAGTCGGCAGAACCATATGGCTTTACCGCACTGACACATCGTGACTACCCGGAACACCATGCCGCAGATCAAATCTCTATCAGCCTTAAGCGCACCCTCGTACCATCTTCATCTATCTGTTTTCAAAGTTGCACCTTTCCCTTCGACTCAAGCACAACACCTGCAGTGTCGCTCCAGAAATGGCAGATGAATAACTTGCCATTTTCACGGCACTCGGCGTTGTCTTCCCAAACGTCCTTAATGGTGTTAGGATCATTGGCTAACATATTCCGCGAGGACTTCTTTGATTGGCATTAAATCAACCTACATTGTCAGTCCAACCTCCCATCGAGAGCTTGACTGTCTCCTGCATCCAGCAATTCAAAGCAGTTGTTCCTAACAAAACGAGGTAGGTCTGTGACAAAACCTTTCATACAATAATGGGTCACACAGACCGCATCATCCATGCAGATCGTTGAACTCACAGAATTCTTACAGTGGACTGAGCCTAATTATTAGGTTGTCGCTGGGAGAGGCTATCTGATAGGGCTGCCCATTCACGAGGTAGCTGCGTTATGGCAAGGAGTCAGACGGTCGGCCATTTTTCAAACTCCACTCGCCCGATAGCTGTAATGCATTCTGGACTTTTTTTACTACCAAGCAGCTTTCCCGCCATCGGATCGAAACATGCATGGTGCAACAAATATTGAAATTTAAACCCCGTCAACAGAAGTGATATTTCTGCGTGACTTCAGCACTTTCAACTATTTCACTCAATCTTCTATCATGGTCGTTCAACATCGTAGTATTAGAGAGAGCATGGTACATTAAGAGTTTTGTGTTTTAGTAGCTTGAAATACGAGTCTTTTGAAGGTGGAGGTTGCACTAGGCAGGGATAGTACGTAATAACAGAGTGAGTATTATTGGTACGTCACGGTGTGCCCAAATAGACGGTCCAGATGTGTCTTTGCAACAAACATTTTCAATGATTTCTGAAGCCTTTTATACGCTTTCCTGAAAATCCGACGAGTGTACTCTTCTACAAAGACTTCGAAACCATTGCCGCCTCAGTCATCTGGAAGCGAGACGCGTTACCCAGAATCATGACGTTGAATTTCGCCGTTCACTACACCGAACAGCTTGTTCCGTTGACCAGGCTGCATGTATCTGCGCAGACTAAGCCTACAAGCGATGACGGTGCACTAAAGTCTATGCATGCAATGCTACAGGATTCGCCCTCTGAAGTTACGGTGCAAAAATCCATACACTTTCTCCGTACTTTCCCTGTTCGGGACAAACCAGGGCTGCAATCTGACAGTGAAGAAATCGTCTTTTACAATGCCATCGTCAGGAAAACAATTTTTAACATGTATGCCCTTGCCGTGGATCTTTACCTGGAGGAATCAAGTGCGGCTCAGCTTGACGCAGAGTGGTGGGCCGACATCGAACAATCCACCTGGTCTGTGGCATTGTATCTCTTACAGTGTGCGTCTATTTTCATAATGCACTGTAAACTGCACATGTTTCTTATCTCTGTCGCTTCTTTGGACTTAGCGTTGCCGAGCCGTCTTCGCAGAGTTTCGCAATTGATTCAGGCACAGAAGATGTCTGTTCGTTTGTCGGCGTTTTATCCATCGTCCATTGCAAGATTCTACTGGGATGCTATGCCTATTCGACTCAACCCGTTCGCTGTTGCACTCTTCCCCTATCTGCGAAATCAGTCTTCTTCTGTGGCATCATTTTCTCCAGTTATCGCAGGAAAGAGCACGCGAACAGACTCCCTCGTTGCCCTGGCTGAAAAAATACGTGTCGGGGTCGCGTACAGTATACAAAGAGTGATCTCTCTTCTGCTCTTTCCTGTCCGTCTTACTCGAGAAGAGTGTCAGCTTAGAAGAAAAGAATTGGAGAAGGTGAGGGACGAGAGGGCGGAAGTCCTCGGAAAGCTTTTAGAGTTACGACCCTTGCTCGCAAATGGTCTAGAGGCCGACTTCAACGGTTCAATCACTGGTTGGTCTCTTGACAATCAAACCCTTACGGCGTTTCTGTTCAAGTTCGCTGTTGTCACGTCAGGCAGTGCATCACAGAAACCTGCTATCCCTTTGATCGAACAACTCCTAGGTACATTTAAAAACCATGTACTCTTGCATGACGCGTACCTGGATGCCCACGATCTGCGACGACCATCCCGACTCACCCTGTTATGGCCTCGCTTATTCCTGCTTCCCCCACTGATGCTCTATTGTGTCAAGCATATCTATACTTCCAGAGCGACTTTAGCAGACTTTATGCTAGATGTGGTGAACACCGTACAAAACTTTTTCAAGGGTTGGTTATTTGACCCTATAAAAGATGTCCTTGTAACTATTCGTGCTGGTGGAGAAGATGGCGTCATTGTTAGGCGAGAAGCAGTTGCTGCCGACCTCGATGTGAGCAATCCTACCGCTTCCAAGTCGTTATCTGATCGTCAGTAAAGTCACTCGAACGAATGACCCTTGCTCTCGCTAGAGAAAAACTTAGTTATGATTCTTCACAACTTGAACTACTTTCACAGCAGATACGCCAGGGTGACCTCACTGCTGTGTTAAAGATTTATGAAGAAGACATCAAATATCCGGTGAAATCTGCGATATCGGGGACGCTTCTGAGAACAATGTTCATTCAGGTCCAGAAAGCCAAAGTGAGTATACCGCGCCTTTATCAGGGCTACTACTCATTCCAATGTTCCCAGGTGGATCTCGACCAAGCACTGGCTGGCATCGATAAGCTGTTGAAGTCTCAAGAACTTACTTTCGCATTCGTTGGTGTCGCGCCAGCCCTTGCTGTCATATATGTCGCAGGAGGATTCCTAAGAGGATTGCTGTCTATAAGACCTGGCAGGTATGGAGGGAAACTCAGAAAGACTAGCGTCTGGCTTGCAATGAGGTCAAACATACATGTGTCTCGGAAAATACGCGCTGACTCTACATTTTCAGGCGCATCGAGCGGCTTCTGTTATTCCAACCTAAATTGTTGCACCATCATCATGATACCGAGAACTTGCACTCGGACACCATTCCTGCTTTGACGACAGGACTATTGGTTTTATCTCTAGCGCATCTCCGAGAGTACGCTTTGACGTCGCTACCAGCGCGGTCACGACTTCGGGAAGGATTCTTGGAAGATATCGAAGACCTTGAAGACCCTGGATTGCGTCGATCAGAAAAACTGAGGATTATCGATCGAATGTGGAAGAGTTGGGGAAAAGAGCTCGGTTGGTACGATCTATCGGGCGGTAGATCATACAGGTAGAGATTGGTTCCCTCCGAGGTGCATTGCAGGAGGAACCGATAGATTACTGGGGAGTCAATCTGATCGTGGCATGCGTTTACCGACCAATATCTGTTTTAACTTAGGATAGCAGTATCGACTATGTGGACCCAAGTATAAATTCTAGGATATGCGTACTCGCGCCATTGAGGGAATGTCGAATGGATGGTATAATAAATTGGCGAGCAGGGCTTAATGAAGAAGTATGAGCCCACCACCGAGACCTCTCGAGGCGCCCATGCAGATTCTAGATTCTATGAATTGCATTTGACTCAATTGGGCTTGGCAACACCGCCATTTGTTTATAATGAGTCAGTTTTCTAAGAGTCTTGGCCCTGGCAGTCATGGCAAGTTACCTCCCGAATACGAACCTGGAGATGACCTTGAAGCATTTTCCTACACCATGGCTGTCTACCTCAGGCTTGGAAGGACACATAGGAAGGTTTAGCGTTGCAGAGCTAGCGGATGCAATAGCAGAGCAAATCATCATCGCAGTCAGTCGACAGCGAATTCTTGGATTTAGCCATGCAGGTGCGAGGTCCAGGGTAATAAAATGTTTGTAAAATCTCGTGCTTATATCGCTCGGTATGAATATAGTATGATCCGATAAGTTCAGGTCGGTGTTGAACCGAACCATGTAGAACTCTTTTTAAACGTCCCATGCTAGAAAAACCAGGGACCGACTGTCGCATCACATGAGCCTTGTAACGAACATCAAAGATCGATACACCAACCTCGCCCTCTGGGCCCCTCAGGCTTTATTTGTAAACAGCTTTGATGTATGAGATTGAGTGCCTTTACAGCGTCGCGGCCTTCAATAACACACGATATGTTGATTTCGCTAGCGCCTTGGCTGATCATCTCGATATTCACATTACCCTGAGCAAGAGAAGTGAACATGCGTCCAGATATACCAACCAGGTTACGCATATGTTGACCAACGAGGGAGAGAATGGTCATTTCACGGTGAACGGAAACCTGGGACTTCAATTAAACAAGGCGCCAGCGTCATATCATAGTACTCACAGTTCCACTCTTCTTTAGTTCCCCAACCAACCGCTCCATAGTTGCCCTGGAAAGATTGTCCTCAATAGCCATGCTGACATGTACTTCGCTGGTACTGATAAGGTCTACAACCACGCCAAACCGATCAAGGGTTCCAAATATCCTGGCCAGGAAGCCGTGGGAGACACTCTTTCGATTCGAATTGACGTTGAGTACGACAATGCGTTCTTTTATTGTCACGGCGGTCGGTAGTCGCTTGTTCCTACACAATTCGTCGGACGGGGATAGGTCTTGCACTTCACAAAGACCATCGTCTTGCGATGCCTCAATATCTGGGTCGGGATGAATAACTGTGCCGCCACCTGAGGGGTTCTCTACGTTTTTAATTCTTATTGGAATTCTTCGGCGAATGACCTGCAATTTGAGGGATGAGAAAAGTTAAGATTCAACGATGGCCCTTCTGACCTGCTCCATCGTGAATGGATGTACGACTTCACTCCCGTAATAAGTCAATTCAGCAGCTTCATCGGGCGATATGACAGGTATCAAACGTGCCGTGGGCACTTTTCGAGGATCTGCCGTAAATACCCCATCAACTTCCTTCCATATCTGCAATTCTGATGCTTCGAGGCCGACGGCTAGAAGGGCAGAGAGCAAATCTGTGTATCCTCGGCCAACTTGCCTGAGAAGCGACCCCGGTACGTGGCCAAAGAAGCCGGTGACAACAGGTACGCGAGGTGCGCATCCCTTGATGCGTTCCCCGACAGCAGTGGCCACGCTATCATAAAAGGCCTGATCAAGGGAGCCTTCTTTTATGTTGTCGCTATCCTCGGATAGAGGAATGATGTCTTCCAGCGACACGTACTCTGCGTCGATGCCCTGTAGACTGCAGATTAGTCTTGTTAAGGAATTCTTGATACCAAAATCTTACTTGGTCGCGGAGAACGGCTGTCATCAGTTTACATCCTAATCGCTCTCCAAAACCTATGATATTATCCCGCGAACGTGGTGATATTTGATTTATGACCTGGTAATCACAGACACATTAATGTCAGGTTGAACGATGGGCAGTAAAGCAGTCGAATGAACTGAACGTACCTGGGCAGCAAACAAGAAACTACGAAGCCAGTCGCAGTCTTGATCTATCTCAGCCTCGAGTTCTTGGAGAATCCCTGCATTTTTGACAGATGCTTTGGCAGCATCCATGTGCTGTGATCGTATAAGGTCAACAGTAACATTAAACTCCGGTTGAGATTGGCCAGTCTGGGGTGTTATCAATGGCGTCAGTGCACCTGTGGACGGAGAGCAAGGCGATGGTGAAGATCTGCGTATCGGGGTGGTGGGGGAAGTTTCTGATGAACTCCTGAATATACCGTTTATCGAGGGAGTTGTGGTACCGGAAGGGCCATTGAAGAACTTGTGTCGTTGCCGCTGTGCCTCGGAGGCAGCTTTGAGTAGGAGATTGGTAGTTCCCAGAGCCTTGGCAGACCCAGATCGTGCAGAGCAGACGACAGCAATTTTGTGCTGGCCAATATGGCTCCTAAAGGCGAAGTCAAGATACCCAAAGTGCAGCATGATAAAAACTTACGATACGATGTCACGAGCAATATTGACTGCAAATTTGCCTACACTAGTACCTCCATACTTCTGGACGATCCATTTTGCTTCTCGATCCGTGTTGTTCTGGCGCAACACCAACGGATTCGTAGATGGAGAGGGGGAAGGCAGAGTAACCAGATCTAGTTTTGATCCCAACATCACACTCCAGAGATAGTCTGCAGCCACGTGATGCTAGCACAAGAGCCCAAGACTGAGAGGGAACCCAACAAGCTCGAGGTGTCAAAAAATATGGCAGACCCTGGATTGCCAGCGTCGTGTACATGGAAAACGAATTTGCTAACTTGAATCATCGACGCAGGGGTGCAAAAAGACCCCTGTCACCCGAGGTTATAAGTGCCGCAACTCTTTTACATAACTTACTTCCGAGTACATATGAGTATTTCATCGTGCCTGTATTTCTGATCTATGTAGATGGGTCGAGATGCTGCCAATGTTCCCAGGTGGATCTCGACCAAGCACTGGCTGGCATCGATAAGCTGTTGAAGTCTCAAGAACTTACTTTCCGTTGTCGCACCAGCCCTTGCTGTCATATACGTCGCAGGAGGATTCCTAGGAGGATTACTGTCTATAAGACCTGGCAGGTACGGAGGGAAACTCAGAGATACCAGCGTCTGGCTTGCAATGAGGTCAAACATGCATGTGTCTCGGAAAATACGCGCTGACTCTACATTTTCAGGCGTATCGAGCGGCTTCTGTTATTCCAACCTAAATTGAAATTGTTGCACCATCATCATGATACTGAGAACTTGCACTCGGACACCATTCCTGCTTTGACGACAGGACTATTGGTTTTATCTCTGGCGCACCTCCGAGAGTACGCTTTGACATCGCTGCCAGCACGGTCACGACTTCGGGAAGGATTCTTGGAAGATATCGAAGACCTTGAAGATCCTGTATTGCGTCGATCAGAAAAACTGAGGATTATCGATCGAATGTGGAAGAGTTGGGGAAAAGAGCTCGGTTGGTACGATTTATCGGGCGGTAGATCATACAGGTAGAGATTGGTTCCCTCTGAGGTGCATTGCAGGAGGAACCGATAGATTACTGGGGAGTCAATCTGATCGTGGCATGCGTTTACCGACCAATATCTGTTACAACTTAGGATAGCAAAATGCAGTATCGACTATGTGGACCCAACTATAAATTCTAGGATATCGGTACCCGTGCCATTGAGGGAATGTCGAATAGATGGTATAATAAATTGGCGAGCAGGGCTTAATGAAGGAGGAAGCATGAGCCCACCACCGAGACCTCTCCTATGCCAAGAGTTCGCTGCAAAAAAGCACGTTGAGTTCAGCATCCACATAAAATATTCTTGCACGTACATAGGGGCTGCCCAAGGATAATGATGCAAAAGTAGACCCACAACCTCCCATACAATCCACCGACACGATATCCTGTGTACTTGTACCAGACCTTTTCACAAAGCAGTAGAGGAGCCTGCAGTGCAAAAAAGAGCGGAACGATGGTATCAAAACCTCTTCCGAGTGCATATGCAGCAAATTCGTGGTATAATCCAGACCCGATGAATGTCCCGAACACCATGCCGAACTTTCCTGCGATGACCTTGCCAAAAAATCCTCCAAAGACAAAGAAAGTTTCTCGAAGAATTTGGTGCCAACGTTTGGACCAAAAGGTATGAAGCGAGTCAGACTGCCAAGGATGATCTAGCACGGGAGGCCATGCAGACGGGGAGCTTCCCAAAAACAAGACTGCAAAGATCGTGATGAAATCGTAAAAGAGTTGGAAGGCAGCCAAAATGCAAGAGCCAGTTGCAACGTGAATGGCTGTAGAAATAATGTATCTATAGAAGAAAGGTAGTTCTGCCCTGAATATGGTGCCGCCTTGAGGAGTGCCAACGTCAGGTACTAGCTTGATCAGCGACTCGAGGAGATCGAAGATCATGTAGCTTCGGACAAATGATACAAACGTCGCAAACAGGAATGAATTCCGTTCGAGAGATCTCTCCTCACGAGGTACATGAATCCCGATACCAAATTTCCAACCTAGACCCCGGTTAGATAGAATTACTTCCAAGGCATCATATAGCCAAGCAAGTGTTGGGGTAGTTGGATCTGACGTGACTGGTTTTGCATGCGCATCACCATTAGCTTGAACAGCATGGGTTTTTCTTGTGACACCTGGCTGAACCTCGTCAATCTTGAGCATACCCTCTTTTCTCCATGCAAAGTCTATTGCCTTGGCACTTATGGCTTCTGCAAGTACACCTGTGGCGGCTTGAGTGATTCTGTAAATACGAGGAAAGTGATATTATCTCACCCTGGGCCCAGTTATAGATGTTGTGATGTGGTTCTGTCCACATGAAACGAAAATAGGTCCCGACGGCAACTGCAATCACCAACGGAAGGAGTAGAAGACGCAAGGTAAACGTGTCTGGGCGTCTCGCCAGGTATCCCATGTAAATTAGTGGCAAAAAGGGAAATAAATGGTATAGGATATTAATTCCAGTGATCGGTGTGCGCTCATGAGGTTCGGGCACGAGCGCTCGGAAGACATCATGGGCAATACAGTGGCTTTTGGGGGAGGTTGTCAGTGAGCGCACGAATTCTGAATAAAATGTGTAAAATAACACACCATTTCTGATATATTCTCAACCACATCTATTAGGAATCTGGACAGAGAATCCTCCAATCCACGAATGGGTTTTTGAATTAGTTCCAATCAAGACGCGAGGATGTGTCCCCACTTAATATTATGTTGACATCAGCTTAATCAGCTATTAAGTAATACATCACGTGAACCCAACTCTAGGTCTTGCGCATAGTATCCGCCATTCGCTACCCAATAGTTCATCGATTCATCAGTCATTGCACACCCTTGTCGAACGCAGCGCAACATGCTGCCGCACTAAACAAGTCTATTTCCAAGTCTCCCACTTAAAACCCTGTTATTATTGCATCCGTCGCGTCTGCAGCGCCATTAAAGATGTTCAAACTTAACTTACCCGCATTCTCTAGTCCAACTTTGCGGATGCGACAATCCAAACCTTGCTTGAGTGTTGCGAAGACATATCTCGCGTGGTCTGCCTTGAATCCGGTATATGCGATGTCTTCCCAACTACTTATTGTACTTGCGGGCCTTCAGCTGGAAGAACCGAGGACAAGATTTTGGTGCCAGAATTGTGATGTGTCCAAACAGCTTGTCGCGTGGGAGGAGTTCGGGATCGTTTCATGCCCTCCAGTTGGCGTCTTGATGCCCTCGCCCGCTTCTACAACGTCCCGCAAGACTTCGATAGCTTCCGCTGGGAACATGCTTGGTTCAGCGGGTGATGGTTACGCTATCAGTGGCTCTATTTCCAAAAACCACCTCTTCTTTTTTTTTTTTTCCAATGCCGTGCTTCACTTTCGTGTCCAGGCCTTATCAAACTTTGCGTACAAGAACTTGACGGTCGACGCACTGGTCAATGCCATGGCGACTTTACGATGCATGTGCTCAAGTCAATGCTAATGTCTGCCTCGATTGCTCCTATATCAAACACGCACGCATCAAATTCTCCTTCTCTCCGACTTTGTAGATTGCCACCATCAACGCTCATAGGAAGGGTAGTAAAGTATCATAGCCATAAAGATCTGGATATAATCATAGTTCATTGCAAGGCGATGTTATACCATAGCCTGATTGTCATGGTGATACCGTATGCATATGAACTTTGCTCGGCGAAGTTTGATCACGGAACGTTGTTGGAAACACGGGCATTGAAACCAGCTAATGGTTGCAAATATTGGTGAGGCGGAGCAGAATGATGGACAAACGAGCACCGTGATGATGATCAATATGAGTGTCTTACTTGCTGATTTCCGAGGTGTATTCCACCAATATCAAATACACATGTTCGGACGTGAGAATTTGTATGCTGTAAATTTGGACCTCTGAATCTTGGGGATTGATTAGCAGAGTATAGTAGCCGCGAATGCTTCCGACGAAGACTAAATAGATCAATGGTGGTGATAGGTATGGATTCGAAGTAAACAGAGTGGATGGACATTGAGAAGTAGACCTGGGCTAGCAGAAGCTTGGAAATGGGAATAGAGAAGATCAAATGCAGCGGTAAATGCATACACAATACGCCATAGAGCTCACCATGGTGGAAGAAATGGCAGCACATGGGGCGGGTGAGTGCATTCTGTAAGTAACCTGACTGTGTTGCCAGGCATGCAAATTGGTCATAGAAAGAATATGTCAAGAACGAGTTTGTAACAGTCAAGATCTCAAGTTAAACTAATCAGAATCACATAACTGTCGGTGCGAACAATGAGTTGCCACGAATTTTCAAGGAATCAGAATAGAACTCAACTCTTATTATTATCAAGCCCATGTATGGTGACAAGCTGGTCCTTGATGCATTTTAATGGAACATGACCACCATCACGGAGAATGTTTGGACATCACGGTAGCGAAACGTTTCCCGTCAAGGCTATATGCGGCAAGAATTTTTCACAAAAATTTGCAAGATATGTCCTACTAACCTCCTGTACTTCTTGGAAGTCGAATACTGGAAGAAATTAATCGAATCCTGTATTAATAGGATCAATCATTTTTGCGGGGCGAATGGTCGTGGTGAAGAAATATCGATCTACGAGAACGCGTTGTTTGGTCGTGTTGTTGTTGTATTGGTCTGTTCCGTTCGATCCTTGAAATTACACGCCGACGGTATAGCATACTGCTCGAACGGGTTGCCGCCAAAGATCTCGCCAGTGCTTTAACGCGTCCACGACAGTATCACGACTCTAATCTGTAACTCTACATTTTCTTCGTTTTTTTTGTATTACTTGCACGGGCTTGGCCTGTCTTGCTTCTTCTCCCCTCCGGCGTTCATATCTTGTGGCGGCTTTATCGGTCTGTTCATTTCTAATTCGTTCTGTTCTTCCATCTTGAATCAGTTTCGCTACCGTCCTGACACTATTATCCTTGTTGGTTCCAATCGCCTGGCGCAACTTTGGTCCTACGAGCGATCTCATTCGCATAGCAGAAGGCGCTCTGACTGCGGTGCGAGTGAGCTGTCATTTTTGTGCGTGTTCCTTCTTGGTCCTTGTTCATGGATGCATGTCAGTGACCTTACAGTTTATGACTATCAGTCATACATCACCCGCAGCTACAGCGGCCGCCAGGAACACCCGGTGATAACATCTTGCCTTGGAATTAACTGTATTCACTCGGCCATCTTGAGTGTCGGCCCGCAAAACCGCAAAGAGATGCCCACAGCTCATCTTCACATTAATACAAATGTCACCCGTGATACCAGCAATTTGAAAAGACCGAATGACACCTCCGCTCCAAATCTGATGAGCTTAAATATGGCCGCTACCCGGGTGAGGAGTGGGTCCACTGCGTCAACTTCATCCTCCATCTCTGTTGACTCCCCCGGTCCATCTTCTTCTTCCGCTTCCTCATCATCGCTCAACCTGCCTGATTCCGAACAATCATCCCGCCCCCTCCACTACCCTTTGGCAAGCCCGTCAGATGAAACTGTTCGCATCTCCCCTTCTCCGGAATTCGTTCTTGCATTACATGACTTTCACCCTCAGCACCAGAATGCAACTTGTCTGTCGTTTCGAGCTGGCCAGGTTATTCACGTCCTAAATCGGGATTCGAGTGGATGGTGGGATGGTGAGATTAACGGTCAAAGAGGATGGTTCCCCTCCAATTACGTCAGTGCTGATGAAAGAGTAATCTCACTGGCAGAGGAAGTTCTTCCTCAATCACCTGTATGTCGTTATCAAAGCAAGCAGTTTAAAATATTGACAACATCATCCCGGTTGTATCAGGGACCTCGCCACGGACACACTATGTCCGCCGTATCGGCAGCTTCTTGGGCCAGCGCTCCCTCACGTGGTTCACGAAAGGACCACAGACCGTTGGTCACTGAAGCTCTCGGATCGGACATAACATCATACTGTCCTCCTCTCATGGTCAATCTTCTGCACAGTTTATCCCTCCTCCAGAGTGCAGTTCGTTCCAACCGTATCGCCCATTTTCAGCCTTCCACCGCCTGTATCATATCCTGTGTGCGGTTCATCCTGTCTTCCACAGAGTGTTTGCCTAGGGAGGCACCGTTATTAAAGCGCTTTCCTACCCTCGCGCAGGAGCGGAAACAGATTCTGTCCGTCCTGGCATCCCTAGTGTCGCAAGCTAAAAAGGCATCAGATGAGACGCAGGATGAAGATTTACGGGAGGCAGAAATTGAAGGAATGTTGAAATTAGGTGGCCAGGTCTTTTCACAAGTTCGGCGTTTTCTTGCTGTCGCTGTACAATGTGGCATCGACTTGCCGGAAAAGCGTCAGCCCGTAATTTCGGACGAAGCTATCGTTAACGGTTCTGGCTTACAGGGACAAGCGAGCCCTGCAGGACCTGGAGACAGAGTCCCAGTATCACCCGATCCTGTCACCCCTTCTCATTTGTCGTCTCGTCTAGCAACTCCCCGACAACCACATTCGCATGATGGCGTCCTGCAAAAGACGGCCCCGCGGACCAAAAGTTTGGGAGATCTGAGGTTGCAACGGAGATTAGCTGCATATCAAGATTCGGACTCTTCCGTTTCTCCCCTCCTGCCTCACAGAACGATACTGTCCCGGTCGAAGAAGGATCAATATCTCGTCTTTGAGCGCGTCGCTGGCAAGCATAAAGCCGACATGCCATCCATCAGCAGCATTTCGTCATTTTCGTCGATTTCGTCTACGGAGTCGCCGAAACCACCGGCAATTCCCCCTTTTCCATCAGGACCCTCGACATCTTCGGAGGTGATGGAGGCCCTGAAGTTTACCCATTACCAGTATCTTTCCACTATTGCCGCCTTCATCGGTCATGCACACTCTCATTCACGATCATCACACGCTTCTAGCACAGGCCAGATGTATGATCTCGTGCGAGAAGTGGTGGAGATGGTGTGCAAGTTACTCACTATCGTCGAAGCTGTCATGCGGCATACCGAGATCCCACCTCACAAGATTGGGAACTTGAAGTCCGCAAAAAAGAAACTCTTCACTGTCACTAGCTCCCTTGCCGAATCCGTGCGATTACTTACGGTGCCCCTTCCTCCCGACCTCTCAGAGGAATCTGAAAAGGCATCCTTGATACGATCCGCTACAGCAGCATGCAAAGCGGCTGCTGATTGCGTTTCGGCTGTCAAAATCTGCTTAAATAGGGCTTCAGGAGAGAGGCAATTTATCATCCAAATACCTACGACCTCTGATTCAGACCCTGCACCGTTCACTCCAAGCAAATTTTCTAGTAGGACTGGTCAAACCCCGACCCTCAGCTTGCACACGCATCAAAGCTTGTATCACAATGACATCGTCGATGATGATCTCACTGTACAGGTTTTGACACCAGCTTCTGCCACCCCCAATGCTACTAGCATCCGAGACAGATCTTCAGACACGTTCAATGTCACGGCAACTCCTGATCCATCTGACAGTTCGCATGACACTCAACCGACAACGCCAGAAGGCGGCCTGTTATCTATGAGCGATCCCGACTTGATGAAGCCAATGGAACCTGTATCATCGCCTTCACTGGCAGTTGATGATGAACGCGCGGATGAACAACAGGAACGCCAGACTATGGACACATTTGAGGAGCGGTTGATAAACGGCGAACCTGTTACACTACAAGTCAAGCGTGATCCTCCTGGTCATGACTCCTCTACAAACGATGTCGTCTACAACAATGAGGGGCACCTGGTGGCAGCGACAATGGAGGTGCTGTTTGAAAGAATGACACCCCATGACAGTATCGTAGATCCTGCATTCTCGGCGGTCTTCTTCCTCACATTCCGCCTTTTCTCCACACCGCTTGCGCTGGTGGAAGCACTCATCAACCGCTATAATATCATGCCTCCATCCAATCTATCAGAAGACGAAATGTCGATTTGGCAGAAGCACAAGGGTATCCCAATCCGCTTGCGCGTATCCAATTTTGTGAAGACGTGGTTGGAGATGTACTGGCGGCCTGAGGTTGACGACATCGCTCTCTCGCACCTTTCATCGTTCACAAAAGATGCGCTTCTACATTACTTCCCTGCGCCCTCCCAGAGGATTCTCGATTTAATTTCCATGCGGCAAGACTCCAACACCAGTCTTGTGAGCCCCAAGAGTGAACGTGTTCGTGATCCTGGCATGTCGATCAATCCTCCGTCATATACACTATCCGAGGTTCCACGACCAACAATGACGAAAGCATTACTGGCCACGCTCCGTGGAAAGAATTTCGACACTGTCGCCATCACTGATTTTGATGCTCTAGAGTTGGCAAGGCAACTGACAATCATGGAATGCGACCTGTACTGCGCAATCCAGCCCGAGGAAGTTCTTGAGACGGGTCAGGAGGGTACAAAACCGCCCGTCAACGTCAGAGCTGTTTCCTCCCTAAGCACAATCATCACAGGATGGGTGGCTGAGAACATATTGAACGAGCATGATATCAAGAAGCGGACGTTACTCGTGAAATTCTTCATCAAGGTTGCCGATGTAAGCGAATACGAGATTGTTAACATTCTCCCAACCAACTATTGCCTTTCAGCGATGTACTTCATTGCATAACTTCAGTACTCCTCGGTCCATCCTAGCAGCCCTCGACTCTTCCACGATATCTCGGCTTCATCAGACTTGGCTAGTAAGTATCCTTCATTTTCGCACCGTTGTGTTGCCCTTAGCAATTTTCTCAGGGTGTTCCACATAAAAGTAAAATGCAGTTGGAGTCTTTGCGTCGGTTAGCAGATCACGGGCGGAACTATCATCAATACCGAAGCAGGCTTCGCAACATCGCACCTCCAGCAGTTCCATTCTTAGGTACGATAGTGCCTTTATCTGAAAGCCTTATATGTTGACTGGTGTGAAGGTCTTTACTTGACCGATGTGACTTTCTGTCGCGAGGGAAACCCGTCATACCGCGAGTCCCCTAGTGCACCAGGGAAGAAACTCCTTAATTTTAACAAGTACCACAAACTAGCTCGGATTGTTCAAGGTCTGTATTCCATAATCACTGTAGGCTTCTCCACTCAAGATTTTTTTAGACATGCAACGATTTCAAGTGCCATATAATCTTAAGAAGATTCCTGAAGTGCAGGAATACCTGCAGATGGCATTTGAGAAAGCTAAGCACCACGGCGACCTTCAGGATCTCTATAGGCGAAGGTTTGTGAGCTTACAGCTTCTCTGGACGTCCGCTGAGTTGGTCGTTGTAGCTTGCTTGTTGAGCCGAAGCAACCTGCCGACACACCTCCCCCTAGTGATATGCGGCAATTATTCAACTGGGCAACACGTTCGCAGGCATAGCCGCCTACACCTACCTAGTGTTGCTTCTTCACGTTCGTTCAGACTTGCTCGTTCTGTCCTCCTTGTTGTTGTCCTTGTTTATTCTATAATCACTCTTGCATTTCCCCCAATATGTGTCCATCCACCGCATTTTGAGCCACATTTTTGCTGTCTGTTTTGTACTCCCACGCATGCATGGAAACCTCTAGCTAATTTCGACCCTCATTCGGCTCTGTAATATGCAACGATATTGTGTAGACCGCAAAAATACATAAAATTCAATACAACTGAATAAGGTATTGTCTACGTACGACTGTGATTGTATTGAGTGACACAGTATCCGACTCCGTTCTTCTTCAGTTTAAGAGAGTCGTACTGGGAACGTGTGGAAGGGGGTAGGAAAGGGTATGTCTCTTTAGTTATACCTGGCCCAAAGTCGAACACAAAGGGTCGACTTTGCGTTACACCAAATACACGGGAGCTCTCGAGTATCAGGGAGTAAACTGGAGATGAGTCGTTGCCTGGAGCGTGTACACTCCATCCCTCTGTGGGACGGCGAACATCCCAGAACGCAACAACGCTGTGACGGGCAGTACCTGCTCCAACAACACTTGAAGAACCGCCTCCGCATGACACGGAATAGATAGGTTCATCCGACCAGGGATCACGGAACGTGAGCATGGGACGCAGGGGGGCAGGGGTGCCCGCCACCCCTGAATCGCGACAACCCGAGCGCATATCATGCACCTGAACAGCGCCATCGTACCACCCAGATACGATGACCTGTTTTGAGGAACCCCATGGTGCAGACGGTGGTGCGTCCGTTATATCGTACACTGCAGTAGAGCGTTCACGCGTGGGATGCAAGATGGCAAATGGTGCAGGGGATAATGAGGAAGGGGTTACTGTGTGAACGACGAGAGGATTTGGGGACGTTGTGCCAAATGCCGCAAACGGCGTAGAAGACTTCATGCAGATAAAACTGGTCCAAGATCTGCAGTCCAAGTTTATCGCGCTGACGAGCGGCGAATCTGAAGATAAGTTGCAAAGGCCTGCTGTTCCGAAGGATGATAGAGACAAGAGCATGTCATCTGAGTACGTCAGGCTCTCTATTATATCGACGTTGCGTAATCCGAAAGGGGAATCGCGCTTGATGTTCAATGCCAATGGCCTATTATTGGATTGGTCCTGTTGGAGATGAGAAAGAAATACACGATGCATATGTCCATCCTCGAAACCAACAGCTACTGTTCTTTCCAAATGACCATCAGGAATGAAGGTGATGCTTGTGATTTCCACCCGGTCTGTGAACGAATATGAGCCCTCGTACAAGACTCCAGGAGCACCACCATCAAACGAGGAAGTGGGGGTTATGTGATATACATAGATAGTGTGACCAGCAGCAACCAGCAACACAGAAGCAGACAGGGCAATTATAGGCTGAAGCTTAGTGCGCCATGAGTGTGATAATGGTCGTGCGTTAAACTTTCCCTGAGACCAACTGCGGTCACACGCAACATTGTATCGAACTTGATCAAGAGAAGACCAGCTTCTACGTGCCAGCTGCAGCGTGAATGACGGACGAACGTTGTGCTTGAGGTAGAGTGACCATCCAAACTCGTGGACCTTTGGTTATGAGCGGTAGTCAGAGATCCGAAATTATGAGAGAACTTAGATATAAAACATACCAAGAGGTTCACGAATTTGCACGTATAGGATAAATTGATCAAGTCCTCTATACCAAGGTTGTCCATTATAATGATTAGGACATCACTGGGAAGGATGAGACCAGCGGCCTCGACAGTCATGGTGGTAGTAGCAGTGTTCTGTGGGTAAGAGATAGGCCCGGTCAGCAAATGGTATTAATGTACTCCTAAGCTGGACTTCCATAAAAGTCAATCGACTTCTTGTGCTTATATAAGACGATCCGTGCCGAGACAGCTAGGACTGCCAAACAGGGATTAAAAACACTGGCAAGTTTCAAAGTCCACGTCCATCGCCACCGTCTAACTAAGGCTTCTCACAAAAGCAAAGCCAGGTTTATCACGTTTTCTTTCGAGAGGGCCATGAGGAGGGATGTTCGCATTTTGCTTGTAGGAGATGGCACGTTGCTATTCTCGCTATTGACCGCGTGTACTGATCCAGGGCTTCGCAGAGGGTGTTGGGAAAAGTACCATTGTCACTTCTCTCATCAAGGAGGCTTTCGTTGCACATGTATGCTCTACTATTCCACACGTAATGGCGGAACTGATGGCTTCAATGCCAGGTTCAACATGTCGTTCCGGAGGTCACCATTCCACCAGAAGTAAACCCAGAGAACGTGACCACTTATATCGTCGATTCAGGAGGTATTGTACAATAAACTTATGGATACAGACGCGTCATTCTTAACTTACGATACAAGCTGGCCCACAAGACCGACAGCATCTCGAATCGGAAGTACGCAAAGCGCATGTTATCTGCGTGGTATACTCAATCGACAACCCTCACTCATTTGATCGAATACCTACGTATTGGCTTCCCTTGTTTCGTCAATTAGGCGTCAACGTTCGTCTCAAGTTAGCTTTCTACCACCAGCCTAACAATATATTCAGGTCCCCGTAATCCTCGTCGGAAACAAGATCGACCTAAGAGGTGGTGAGGTCACTAACGAAGCCCTGGAGGAAGAGATCATACCCATCATGAATGAGTTCAAGGCACGTCAAATTTTATGTGATATTCTTAAATTCAATAATGTCGCCCAGGAAGTCGAGACATGCGTTGAATGCTCCGCTCAGCTGCCGCTGAATGTATCGGAGGTCTTCTATTTTGCTCAGAAAGCGGTCTTGCATCCCACTGCTCCTCTTTATGACTCCAGGGAACACGTGCGTACTGACAGTTCGTAGTGGGTTCTCGACTAAAGCCCTCCAGGTCCTGAAACCTGCTTGTGTCAACGCCTTGAAACGAATATTCAAGCTTTGCGATGCGAACAAGGATGGTGTTTTGGATGCTGCAGAGCTGAATGAATTCCAAGTATGCCTTTTCACTCTCTAGCATCTGGAAGTGCTAAATACCAAAGCGTGTAGCGAAAATGCTTTGACGCGCCATTACAGCTGCAGGAACTCGAGGGCATCAAGGATATGGTTCGCGAGCATGCGGAGGGAGGGGTGCGAGACGACGGGTTGACCGAGGCTGGATTTTTGTACCTGCACACGATATTTATTCAACGCGGAAGGCTGGAGACAACGTGGGCTGTTCTCCGCAAATTTGGTTATGCAGAAGACCTGCGACTTACTGAGCCATTCCTACTGCCAAAGTACGTGATTTATCTTTATGAGCTCTCTTAAAATCGACTCACCTTTCAGATTCGACGTGCCTCACGATTGTTCTGTTGAACTGAGTCCTCAAGGATATCAGTTCTTCACCGATATCTTTGAAACTTTCGACAAGGTTTGGACCCTAAAACGTGCCTTTATGTTACGCTCACATACATTTCTAGGATCAAGACGGTGCACTCAACAGCATAGAACTGGAAGAGCTGTTCAGTACTTCCCCAGGGAATCCATGGGAAACTCAGAAATTCCCGGATACGACGCTGGTAGATGATAAAGGTGCGGTCACTCTGCAAGGTTGGCTCGCTCAATGGAGGTCTGTGTTTTGCCTTTAGTTAAATGCCCTGCTCATCTACCGCCTGCATGCCAGTATGACCACTCTTCTAGATCATAAAACCACTCTCGCATACCTTGCTTATCTCGGATACCCTGATGAACAACGGACATCCGCATTACTGACAACACGTCCCCGCAAACTTGACCGGCGGAAAGGCAAAGTTTCCCGCAACGTCTTCCTATGCTATGTTTGTGGTGCAGCTGGATCAGGAAAGACGTCTTTACTACGGTCATTCGCTGGGAAGCCATTTCGCGAGGCCTACGAGCCAACTAGTAAGATGGTAAGCGTAGTTAATGCGGTGGATATTGATGGTTCAGAAAAGTACCTTGTGGTAAGACCTTAACAACACTTGGAACGTGGGTGATTGACAATGATTGGTCTAGCTCCAGGAATTTGGATCTAAATATGAAGCAGAAACGCTTCGCGCGTCGAAGAAGACGGATCTTGCTGACGTCATTGTCTACGTGCACGATTCCAGCGATACTAATTCGTTTTCTTACATCAGTAATCTACGGGTGAGTTATTCTGACCCTCGAACGTGGATGCTGACCAAAATTCGATTATAGCAACAATACACTCTCGATCACACACCGACCCTATTCGTTGCCACAAAGTCGGACTTGGATCTTGCACAACAAGTTTGGATATTTCTCGCCAATGCCAGTTCCTTCCTGATGTGATTTTAGAGACACGAAGTTCAACCCGATGTATACTGCAGAAGGCTTGGCCTCCAGGTGCCTGTCGCTGTCAGCGTTAAGACGGGGCAGACCGCAGACGTCTTCCATGCAATATGCAGTATTGCCATGAATCCGTGAGTCGTTCCTGCTCTTTTGTTTCTTTAAGGTCTGCCGACCGAACCACCTCATTTTAGTCACGCGGCAATACCCGGAGGGGCAGATCGTGCGATGACAGCCTCAGAGCGGCTGCGTGTTTACGTGGCGTTTACTGCACTACTGGGGGGTGTCAGTGCGGGTCTCGTAATGCTCTACAGGAGTCTCTTACGACAGGATATTCTTCCTAGTTGGACAACACCTTGGGCTACATGGCTATTGGGCAGGCGGGATCCTTGATCGTCTTCGCATATTGTATATATCTACTTTTCACTCTATAGAATTATACACAGTTCAGTTTGTGCAGGAAATTCTAGATTAGTGTGCTGGGCGTTGGGTTGAATATACAGCAGACGAGATCCGATATCCGATTGCTAAGATCCGAGATGCCTGCAGGATGTCGCCTGCACTCAAGAAGCCCTCAAGACCCCATTCCAGAAGCTGTAAACTATATTTACCAGGTTGGATCCTCCACAACTCTTTCAACCGCCTCTCAGGTAACAAGAAACACGAAGACAGACCAACTACTAGTATTCGTCCATAAACATTCCCAGGAACTTGCATCTGAACTCACTACAATAACACTGTGACTCGCCATGGATGAAGATATGGAATTTGACGCCAACACGGCACAGCCGACTCCCCAGTTTCACCGTCAAAATTACTATGACGGAAGAAAGATGCTGTACGTGCCTGCAAGACTCTATACCAGCCGTCATGTTCACCCGTGCACAGCGACTTAGTGTTTGTACAAGACTGTACGGGCAGTCAAGGAAGCTACATCTCCTCTGCAACGAAGAATATCGAGGAGATTTGCGCACATATTTTTGAGTCAGGAAAGCTACAATCGCCAGAAGATTTACGTGTCGGCCTTGTTGCGTTCCGCGACCATCCACCACAGGATCATACATATGTAGTCAAGAACTTTGGGTTTTCATCTGATATCAGCAAGGTTCATCGGGACCTTGCGGGGCTTTATGCTTCTGGGGGTGGCGATGGACCGGAGGCCGTGACAGCTGCGCTCGCAGAAGCACTCCATATGGACTGGAGGGAACATGCGAGTAAGATGGTCGTCCTGATTGCCGATGCCCCACCGCATGGAATAGGAGAGTATGGGGATGGTGAGTCTGATGATCTGGCTAGTCGAGTGATGTATTTAATCTTTGGCAGGATTCGACGAAGGCTCTCCAGATGGACACGATCCGTTACAATTAGTTCGCGAAATGGCTAGTCGGGGCATCACGCTGGTACGTTTTATTACGGTCTAACGGTCAATAAGTTAGATAACCGGCTCCCTAGTTCTTCGTTGCATGCGAACCCGCTCTCAGTGGATACTCGGTATGGTCGTCGTTGCTCTTTTGTCACAGATACTTAGATGTGTTTCAGTATGCAACAGATTTTTACCAAGCAATCACAACGATCACATCTGGGCTCATGCTCCCACTTACGACAGCTGATCTTCTCTCGCATGCGATTGTAGGCAGTGTGTTAGAAAATCTTGATATGGAGCGCCTTGTTCGAGAGGTGGGGCATGCTGTGGCGCAGCGAATTCTTGGGAACAATGAAAGTGTCGATGATGTTGCTCGTGAATTGCACGAGAAGTTGCTCCTGCGGAATGAAAGCACCAAGAAAGTGGTGATCGAAAGCATCTACAAGGAGTCTCCCGAAGCTATGCACAACGTTGCGGTCTTCACTCACGCTGCATCGTTGCACGAGGCGAAACCGCAGTTGAAGAGGGTTCGTTATTCTTATACATTTCTTTCGCGAGCTAACGAGTTTCACTGTCAAAGGTGCAAGGCACGCGTTTTACGGAAAAGTATCTTATCGCACGACAGACTGCGAATCGGAGTTTGTACTCATATCCATATTCGCCTCATATGCCTTCGCGATCAGAAAAGACTTATTCTTCTGTGACGCCGAGTACCAGCCCATCCGCAGTGCCGTCGTCCCCTCCTCGTAAAGTCGTGACTGACTTTGCTGCATTCGGCGCGCCGAAGAATGCCAGCGTGTTCGGCACTGCCGTCGCCACGACACCTTTTTCGTTGGCGGGTGGCAAGGCCGCTTTTGGTGGCATGAGGAGTTCTGGTGTTCGAAGCGCGTATGATGTTGATGACGACGATGAGGATGATGGCGATGGTAGGCAGCGGGTGGAACTCAGGGAAGATTCCATCTCGCTTGATCAGGTAGGTCCGTCTTATTGTTTAATCATCTCATACTGACTGCCATGCAACACAGGCCCGGCGTATCGCTATGCAAAGCGCATGGCGGAGCGTGCGAGGATGATGACATCGGAGATGTTCATCCCGATTTTTTGTTCTCCTGCCATCACGGTTGTGATTAGCTTCCCTTTGTCAGTATATTACGATGGTGGATCATGTAGAATAGTTGCACATCAATCGCAATCATCAACAGCTTGGTTTGTATCATTGGAATCGGTAGTGTATGATATGTTTACGAGAAATACCCGGATGTCAATGCAATGGCGTAAACCTACGGTGGTGACAGAACGAAATGCCAAAATTAAGGACCTTTCTTTTCCCTTTTCTTCTTCTTGGTCTTCTTTGTATCTATGTTGTCCTTGACCGCAGGGTCGTCAACCTGAGGAGAAGCATCTACGGACCTCTCACATTGTCCCAGTGATCGAGGCTGATCAAGGCTCGTAAAGACCACATTTCCAGGTGGTTTTCCACATTCTGCAATACCAGGAGAATTTGCCTCCAATGTTTTTATAGCCCTCTTGGCTTCCTTCCGCACCCGACGCTCGTCCTTCGTCTTAGCTTTTGCTTCTCTCTTCTCCTTTTTCTCCCGTTTCAATCTTTTTCTTTCTTTCCGTTGCTCCCGAGTCTCGAGCAGCTCTGAAGATTTCCGTTTGGTATTTTGCTTCCTGCTAGGAACCTCAGTTTGAGGAGTGAGCTCCCTTTCGGGAATTAAGTCGGCAGAATGCAGGGGGGATGGAGGGGATGATGACAAATTGCTGGGAACATCAGGGGCTAATGTTGGCCCACGGAAAAATCTAGAGTATAAACCCTTTCTTGCAGCCTCGCGTTTCGCAATGGTTATTACAGAGGTGCGTGGGTAGGTGTCTGAGTCTGGTGTAGAGATTCCGGATGCAGGGGTGCCCGACAACGGCCTTCTATTCGAAATGATGCCTGTTGTGGTTCGTTTTAGTTGAAAGGTCGTGGAACCTGATGAATCCTAATAATATAGTGAGTGGGTGATGGCGCGGTATGAAATGCAAGTGCAGACCTCATTTTGATCGTCGTCGTCGTCGTCATCTGCTATCTTGATGGTGATGGCTTTTGTGGCAGCTGAATATAGGCTTTGAATAGATGAGGTATCGGAGAATTTGCATGAGACAGAACGCACTGGTCCCAGAAGGGGAATGCCTCGTCACGATCCTTGCCTACACCGGCGAGATTTCGTTTTTTGGGAATAGCAAGTGGCCTGTCGATGGCGCCTGTGCGAAGGCCCGTGCCTTTGCCTGACCATCCGTACGATGTCAAATAGCTGTGTCCGTCGAGAGGCATAAGTCAAGGACGTTAAAATCTTCTATAGGAAAGTAGCTAGGTCACATGATTGACTAAGACCATAAATTAATTTCCTCCACCTTTACATATGAACTATTATGAAGGCTATCCAGGATACGGTTGAAACATTGTTCTCGTGTCAGCACCTATAGCACATGATTTGAATAAATACTACGACGAAAATATTGCCCAGACCACTACACATGTCTCATCGAAATCTGCTTTAACCGTGATACACAAAGACTGCAACGAGGCCTGGAATGGAGACAAAGCCATAGCAAATTTCCCTACTTCCTACAGAGCACCAGACATCCATTAATATCTCGTGCGTCACACACTACTGCTAGTCGATACATGCACGCGCTCCTGAAAAGCGATTGAGGTCATACCAGATGCTGCGTCAGAGTCGGCCACGAGCTTAGCATGGTATTCTCGAACGCCAAGGATCAGGCGTGGTCCCAGGACAAACGACTGCACAATTCTCAAAATCTGAGCAAAGCCATAAAAAGTCTGAGCTTCTAGGGAATATTCGTCCTATAGAAATGATGAATCATGGTCGCATGCTGAGGCAAGGGAAAGATTGACATACCGCTAAAAGTGTTGGAGATAATTCAACAATGAGGGTGAAGCAAGAAACAGCAACAAAGCTACCATGTCCGATCCTTCAGCAAAAAATGGGACCATAATCACAATATGAGCTTACCTGGCAAAGTAAACCACATGAGTTTTGATCAACACCGTGAAACAGTCCCCGATAATCCCTCCTGCCGAATAACGTCGTAGTTCACGGAAGTGTTTTACCGCAATCCAAACTGCGAGACATAGTGCGAGGAACTCCCACACGATGCCGAGTACCCAAGTGATGGAGCCCAGAAGTACGATATCTTCCCCATAGTTAATCTGGCACAGATAAGTGCCGGAGAGAATCAATTCCTCTGGTATCCATCAATCAGCTTCATGCACGTTTGTTTTCATTGACAATCAAGTGTACCTCCTGAAGCATGCATCGTTGCCATTCCGCTTACCACTCCGTCAAAGATGTTGACAGCCAGGAAGGTGACAATGAGAAATATCAGGATCTTTCTGGATCCTTGATACATGGCATACAACCGAGTGATGATGATGACTTGTAGCATTTTTCAGTCAAGTCAGTATCGCTGAGGTCCCGCAAATGCCGAACTCACCCCACAGCATCGCAAATACCAAAACACCCGTCCAATCCCGTACGACGAACATAATACAGCCTGATGAATCCAGTGAGAGACCAAGCTCAGGTAGCACACATTCCACACAGACCCACATCTGTGACAATATAGCGTGGCAGTCATTAGTGAACCAGCAAAACAAATACACCCACTGCTACAGGGTATTGCGGTTAATTGGAGGATAGTGGAATATGTGGAGAAGACTCACTGTATCTGTCAGCGAGATGGTTGGAACATTGCCTGTATGCCGTTGGCCAGAAGAAAGAAAGATAGTGAATGTACTAAGGAGACATACCCAGCATATTCATGCTGAGTATGAGAGAGGGACGATTAGCATGACACCGACTGTTAAGCCTTCCGAACATATGCAGCATGTAGGATTCCAAGGTAGCGCGCCTAGGATACTTTCAAGTCAGCACAACATGGCAACCGCGACAAACAAGATACATACACCGAGATACAGATATGTCATTAGCGACCAATGTTGCCTCTGTGATTAAGTGTCTTTCATGTGTATTCCTTTGACATGAGACTCTACTCACCCACACCAATTCGACCTATAAAACCATTCTCAGCAAGAAGACTACTCCGGTCATAGCATTGACATACCTCCTGTCCAAACGTAAGTACTGAAAGATACTTGTAAGAAATCAGCAGTCCCAAAATATTATCATGCTCACCCCAATCATATGTCAATCCAACAAAGGCGGCAACTGCGAAAACGTAGGCAAACTTAGATTGAGTCAGCTTCAACATCCGACTGCTCTGCACGAACCTATAAAATAACTTCCAACACGATTTGCATTGATGGTCGGCCACCAAGTGGGATCATTTGAGACTATGGTCATATTGGGAGAGAATCACTGCGTTGAGCCGTAGGTTAGTCGGAAGTTACACAGGTAGTGGTAGACTACAACTGCAATGAATTAGTCATAGACACGAATTAGGACAGAGACTACTACGCACCATCAGGCCCTCGAATCGTATATACTCAATACCATATTAACTACACCGGCTCATTCAGATTGTTTGTAAATACTGATTACTTTTAATAGACGGCCTCATTCGCCTTCCCATTGGTGCGATACTCGTAAGTTAAATCAAGTCTCATTTAGCTCAGGTACATCGAAAGAAAAGTAAATTCGTACACACTACTAGTAGTACTAGATGGTCACCAGAGTTCGCGCTTTTTTTTGCAACGACAATGGCTCCTCAACGTCTGGGCCAATAAGTACAATTCTTTCACCATTGGATAGCCTGATCGAGTCGAAAATACAGTGTCTGCCAGTATTTTCCTTGAGATGTGAAGAGTTGAGTTAAGCGGAGAGTTATCGTGGCAGGATTGTCTCAAGGGTTCGCGTTTTTGTCACACTATGTCACATCCTGCCGTTTTATACTCCGCACAACCTAACGCAATTGAGATGTACAAGGCCTAACCACTGCCCACGTGCTTCGGGCTTCATCACTACTTCGTCTTGCTAGTGACAACGCTTGCTACACCAACGTATCTCTGAGGTGTATTCTTGTTGGGTGAGCATCTCTCCGAAATGAACGTGAGGTAAGTCAATGAACCAATGGGCCATGAGTAAACACAGCAAATTGTAAATTCCTGCCGTCTTGGATTGAAATTTTAAAACCATTGACCTTCTTGTCGCTGTTGTTTTATCAGGAAGTTGAATCTTTGCACTCATGATACTCGGACCGCCACTATTTTCTCATCGCTTCTTCGAGAAGAGACATTTCATACGTGGCCAAGATGCCCAATAATCCGCATTCGCCAGCGCATATTTAATAGACCACTGAATGTGATGATGCTTTCCAGTCAGCCATGTTCTCCGCTGCATCCTTGTTGACAACTATCCTCTTAGCTTTGTCAATCATGGGATCGCTCGTTGAAGTCAACAATTCCCCCATCACCCTCCCCATCGTCAGGAGGCTAAATGTCTCTGATGGTACTATTAACCTCTTGCAGCAGGATAAAGCTCGCGTGGCTGCCTTTAAAGACCAGTCCTTGAAGCACGGTGGTCATGGCACTCCTGCGGCCAACGTTGGTAATGGATACTACATCGCAGTTGGCATAGGCAGCCCCGCCACAACTTGTAAGTTCAGCACGGATAAAATATGCGGCTGCTGATGTATTATTAAAGACTTTTTAATCGTCGACACCGGTAGCTCGAACACATGGGTTGGCGCCAAAACTCCGTACGTGAGCACCAGCACCAGCACCTTCACAGGTGAGCATGTGGCGGTCTCCTACACTACTGGTCACTTCTCTGGTATGACATGCAAAGATATCATCAGTTGTCGAAAATACCCATGATTTTTTATAGGATATGAGTACATCGACACTGTCGATCTCGGTAATGGGCTCACCATCGCTCAACAGTCAATTGGTGTTGCTGCTGCTGATACGTCGGGCAACTGGGGCAACGCAGACGGTATCCTTGGCCTCGGGCCTGTAGGCTTGACAAAGGGTTCCCTGACAGATGAAAGTGGAACGACGATCCCGACTATCACTGACAACCTGCATAACCAAGGCACCATTCATCGCGAGATTGTCAGTATCTCTTTCGAGCCCATTACTTCAGCGCAGGCAACCGTCAATGGAGAGCTCACCTTCGGTGGAACTGTCAAAAACAAGCACGCCGGCCCCATCACGTACACGTAAGCTACCTCAACTCCTACGTCAATCCAGGTTGATAGTGATCGGTTTGTTTCAGTCCTATCACTAATGCCTATCCTTCATCGAGATTTTGGGGTATCGACCAGAGCATTTCCTACGGCTCCTCCTTAATTATGTCCTCTACTGCGGGAATCGTCGATGTTGGAACCACCTTTATTCATATTGCCAGCTGTATGTATCTAGATTGCAGCGAGTCATCATCGTCTAATCAGCGTTCGATAGATGCCTACAAAAACTACAAATCTGCAACTGGCGGTACTCTGGATGCGGCGACTGGTCTTCTCCTCATTTCTTCTGCCCAGTACGCAGCACTCGAGAACCTGAACTTCAATATTGGTGGCGTACGCCATTCCTGTCAGCCCTCACATCCCTTGTTTACCATTTGCACAGGAAACTTTCTCTCTCACCCCTAACGCCCAAATCTGGCCTCGCGTTCTTAACGCCTACGTTGGTGGTAGTAGTAATGGCATCTATCTCGTCGTTAGTGACGTTGGTTCGCCCAGTGGAAAAGGGTTTGACTTTGTTAATGGCTACCCATTCACCGAGCGCTTCTTGACTGTATTTGATTCCTCCCGTTCCCGCATCGGTTTTGCCAACACCCCGTACACTGGTGCCACCACCAACTAAAATGGAACTGCCCAAGTCCACAAAAGACCGGGTTTCAGACGCAAAACAGCACAAAGATTTGGAGGATGTATGGGCTCTTCTTAACTAGGCTAAAGAGGTCGGTTGAGTTTGCGTATAGTAATCAATTGCTTATGTAGTTGGCCAACCCTGGCCAAGATCAACATCTAGTGACTCGTCTGCCACCTCACTACATTTAAATTGACATTAGAACTGGGCCCATGCGAAGTAGAAAGAGTAGTTTCGTTTAATATGATGGATATAAAAGATGCTGGGAACCAGTCGGGTGCTAGCACGCCGTCATGATGGTATTGTTATGGACTTGAGCTCTAAGAAAAGAGTGGGGTCCGTGCGTTTTGTGCCGCTCACGTCAGCAAAACACCGCGCCACCGAAAGTTGTGGGTTTGGTCCTTGCACCTACATTCCCATCAATTAAGCTTGCACCTTTTCTTGAACTTGCAGTATCTTCTTACTGCAATCAGCAAACAGGAAATCGCTGGTCTTTTTAGCTTCTCTCGCAGGTCCAAGTCGCACTATTATGGATATCGACAATCCACCACCGCAGGATCTTGACTCAGTTGATCCCGCCGAGTCATTGCGCGCAGCCGCTTTGCTTTCAAGAAAGCGTCGTAAAGTTGCTGTCGAGAAACCACCAGTACTATCTCAACGTCCTCCGGTCGAGCAGACTTTGCACCTAGATTACGGTCAAGAAGATATTGCTACATCCTCAGCACCTTCTGCAAATTTTCCTGCGAAAGAAACACGGGCTCAATCGACATCAGAGGAGGTTCCTGATTCGATACCAGAAATTGAAGATGGTCAGATCCGAGAGGAAGGTGAAATCAGCGATACGGAAGAAGCTGTTCCGCCGCCAAGGCCTACCTCACCGCCTCCAAAATTTCGGAGGCTCGAGACTTCCTCGAAGGACACTGTCGCTCCCAAACTTGTTCCTACCTCTCCAGTCGAGTCAAATATTAGGCATAGGCCTTCACCTCGCCTCGAATCTCCTTTCACCTCAAGACCTGCCTTCGAATCAGAAATCTATCAGTCACCGCCACCAACTTTCCTGCAACCATTCATTCTCGAAACGCCCACGTATAGACTTGACCAAGATCATGTCAGGCCAGGGCTCGCCAGTTCGTAGTGGCTTTTCATTGATGACGTTAACTAATAATTTTTACCCATGTGATATAGTGACCGAAGATCAGTATAATACTGCAAAAGACATCGTCTTGGATCTACTCGGTTGGGGTGTTCCCCCCGAGTACCTCATCGACTGTGGCCTTAGCCGTCACGCCGTGTTCTATGTTTTCACCGAACTTAATTTGCGGATGCCCACAAATTTGGATACCAATGGGCTCATTCCATACCCTACGCCTGAAATGATCTCCATTCCCGCTTCACCTTCCCAATCAATTCATTCCTCCTCATCAGCGATGCCCCCGCCGCTAACCATCCCTTCTCACAAAGAGTTGACTAGCCCAATTTCGGTTACTTCCCATCACTCACGTGGCAGACTCGCTACTCGTCGTGGCTTCCATATATCGTCGGGGGGTGAGCCTACTGACGTGAAGGTGGAACCCACATCCCCATCAGCAACTGACTCGTCATCTTCTCATTCTCTTCACAAGATCGAACAGCAACGACGACAAGAGCTACTGGCTCGAAAAGCTGTTTTCGCTTCTCGCAAGGCCAAGCAATCTGATTCCCCTGGCGGTTCATCTTCAAGAGACAGGGACGTTGAAATGTCCTATGTTGCTCCAACTGAGATTGTTGAAGATTTTTTGAAGAGTATTCCTGCCGTGGACGGCGAAATCGCAGAAAATGGTAGTAAATCTCCATCCTTGCGCCCGGCGCGGTACTCCAGCCCTGAAAACATGGAAATTGATAAGGCGTTCCTTGGTCTTGTTACACCGCAATCGGCCTCTTCTACGGAACCATCTGCTTTCTATTCAACTGATTCAGAAACATCTGGAGCAGGCGGTACTATTTCGCCGGGGACTGATGCTCCACCTTCGTCCGGCAATTCCACTGCACCATCCTCGGATACATATTCTGGTGCATCTTCATCTACCGCGCCGGCTGATTACTCTAATTCCACTACTCCAATACTCGCGTCCGCTACTTCGGGTTATGACATCAATGGCGTACAACGAAGGGGCACTAAGCGACCAGTCGCTGCAGACTTCGTTGATTTTGACCACGGTCCTGGTACTTTCAGAGCTTCTTCTGGCAACGGTTATTCGAGTAATGGTTATACGCATCCCAATCTACTCCGACGGAATACAGGGAGTTTTGCGGGAGTGAGTGGCATGCGACGATGTGTCATCGAACTGAGCGATAGCGAGGATGATGGAGATGGTGAAGGGGCTGGTGATACTGGTCCATATGACGGACCATCATCATACTCACCCATGGTCTTCACGCGTCCCCCACGCTTTAGTGGAAATGGGACGCCAATTTTGTCCAATAGTTTTGTTAACGGCGAGGGGCGTTCGACTCCCCTGAATCTGCATCAATCCAACCCCAATGCGTCGGGTATGTCGCCTGCTGCTCTCGTTGAGAAAGAGGAGGAGATCAAAAAGATGCGTCAAATGATTGCTCAGCGAGAAGAGCTTCGGCAGAAAAAACTTGCCGCCGTATGCTCCCTTTTGCTACCTTTGCCTTCGTGAGATGATTTACCAACGTTTCAGATGTCGGGAAAAGCGACGCCGGCAATCCAACCTGCAGCCGCAGGGCCTCTCACAGCCGATCCTGCCGTACTTCCTTCGACCGCCGTGGTCAAATTGGAAGGTGGTCCCGGAGCGCCCATCAACCAGGAGGACGCCGCTACGCCCCTTCATAATAGCCATGTTAGGGGTGCACAGTCATCTGAAGATGCTGAAGATGCCGTCATGGCAGATACACAAGGTTCGCTTTAGCCTTTATCGCTCTCTGCCTATGTCGTCTTCGTACAGCGTTGTCATGTCGTGGCATTGATTTCATTGCATTTCAACTGCGATCTATTTTTGAGTATAGACTGCGTCTGCCCTTGATTTCCACACTCTTTCCTTTCCTCATATCGGTATATATGGTACTTACGTAGGACTGCAGATCACGCAGAACCGACAGCAGTCGTCCAAGAAAGCGCCGATGTTCACGTGGTCATTTCCGCTGAGGAAGCTGTTGTTGACACCAGCAGCGAAACAACCTCAGCCAAGCACACCATGGGTTCTTCCTGGTTCTTCACCAGTCCGACAGCCGGCTGATATATTTCTTTGTTTGTTCCCCCCCTCTGGGTCTTGACTGATGTAAATTTTTTTATACTTCATTTTGTCGTACCTTTCCTTTCCCTTTTTGGTCATTCCTTTCATTTTTGATCCTCGCCATTACTACTCGGGTCTACTCAGGGGGTGTAGGATTCGAGCCACTCACTAATGATGGTGCCGTCGACGAAGACCAAGGTTCGTAACTCATTACCTCTATTGAGCATGTCCTCACTCCTCCGCGGTCGCGCTGACCTCATCTTTTCCATTAATATCTTGTTTGATCTTGCAGTGCCAACAGAGGAAGCACGTTCCGAAAAATGGGCAAGGACCTTTCTCTCTCTTCATTTGACTGTGTTTTATGTACTGACTTTAATGTTCTGTTTCCTTTCCCCATTTGTGCTTCCGAAATCGGATATAGGAATCTTTAAGCGCAACGTTTTATCAAACTGCTGGCGTGTTTGATGGCCTATCGTCATCAGAGGTGCGTCCTGATCTATTCAATCATCGAGGCTGCAAGGCCTATTTAGGCCTATCTATGCTGACGTCGGGGGTGGCGTGGCATGCCAGGTTCCGAAGAAGGAATCGCAAAGATCTGAAACGGGCTTTCCGTATTATGAGTCGCCATTCTCGACCTACCCTCTACTTCTATCCCAAATACGTACAACGCCTCTTGATGCCGATTCCTGTCAAGATCCTCGGCGAACTGCCACTCATTCATCCAGATCATCATCGCAAGCTAATTTATCATCACCCTCATCACGCGCTTCGCTTATCTACTGTGCACCATCATTATCTCATTCATGTTCGACTGTTTTTGTTCCAGATCTCAAGCCTTTGAAGCTTGCAAGCTTGCAACACGCCTTTGGACAAGTCATTTCTAGCGACTCGGGTGTTCGGGTATGTCAGTACGAAGTGCCCGGTGGGGGTGTTTGTCGCGACAAAGACTGTGACGACGTGCACCTGAGCCGACTCATGAGCGAGCCGAGTGGTACGTATAGTTTATGTGTTTAGGTTTGAGCTGACTTATGGATCATTTGTTGTGAATACGATTGTATCTCCTCATTACACCAGACGCAGATGTAGCGGCGTACGTGCACAGAATATTGCCGCAACCTTGGCGTAGTCGGTGCGACGTACGAGCTATCGAAATTGCCCTTGAACGGGTCCGGCTCGGTAGCAGCGCCGGAAATATTGACGAGTGCGTCACAAGCGCTCTATCAGGACTTGGCATCCCGGTCGTTCCATCAACAACGTCTTGACACGTTCCAACCATCAGGATGTGACCGACAATGCGGCCCGGCCTCGACAGATGATGAAGACCGAAGAGACCATTTGTTCGAATGTCAAAATTGTACAGGGCAAAGGACAAGAGCGCCTTGCGCCACAGGAGCATGGACTCCTGAAGTGTGATTGAAGAGCCCATCGGACTTGTTTGTTGTTATTATATTATTATAATCAAAAGTGTTTTGGTTGCCACGGTGGATGATGCGGAGAATGAATTTATTGACACGAGGTTTACCAAATTAGGAATAGTATTTCCAAATGGAAAAGTGGAAGCGGGTATCGTGGGAGTGATAGCTGCGGAAGTATTACTTTAAATGGTCGGCGGGGATTACCGGTGTGTGCCTGGCGGGCATCTGATACTCCGATTATGACCAAATAAATGACCACAAGGACAGTCTTTTTTTGATCGTCCAGACTGAGACAACACACGCCCCGTTGACAACTCCCTCCCTTTTCCACCTCCTTCCAACTTCAGCGATTCCTTTTAAGGACGCCGTCCGCACTGACACTAACATCCTCCAAGTCGCGTTCAACGTTCAACTTATCTTTTATTTCAACGCGTCCTCTTCATCGTCGTCGTAGGGTGAACAACCCATATGGCCTATCGCCGTCAACCTACTTCCACTACGACTAACTCGCCATCTTATCCGTATTCCAACGCCGCGGCTCATCACAGCCAACAACCTTCCCTTTCCGGTCAGAGCATTCAAGACGACCCCGCCGCCGCTTCACCAACAATGCGTAAGCGCCAACGCACGGACCTCAATTTGACAAATCCTGTCATTGCGGATCCTCAACAGCAACCCCCGCCACCGGCTAATCAACAACCTCACCCGCATCTCCCACAACCAGTACAACAACCAGGCGTACCAGAAGATGGTTTTATTCACGATCAGGATGCTGCTGAGAGTGGTGGAGACGATGATGATGAGGAGGAGAAACCCAAGTCAGACAAGAAGGCAGGAAGGCGAAAGATTAAGATCGAATTTATTCAAGATAAATCGAGACGTCACATAACATTCTCCAAAAGGAAAGCTGGTACGCGATCGACTTCCTTTGCCCTCTCTGTACTTTTCCTCAATATGTTCGTCCAACTTTCGCAGGCATCATGAAAAAGGTTTATTCAATCAATTATACTCTTTCGCTTATCTAACCGAATTATCAGGCATATGAGCTTTCTACACTCACAGGCACTCAAGTCCTTTTACTCGTCGTATCAGAAACAGGTCTCGTTTACACTTTTACAACCTCAAAGCTTCAACCTCTTGTCACTCAACCAGAGGGCAAGAATCTCATTCAAGCATGTCTCAATGCCCCTCATGGTTCGCTTCCATCTGCAATGCCAGTCGGTACGCCTATAGGTCGTGCGTCTGGACCAATGTCTTTGCCTGGCCCTGGAAGTACTAACCTTCCGGGAGGGCTTGCTATTCCAGGTGGTCCCGTTGGTGGCCCTCAAAGTGCCACGAAGGAGGACGGCGACGATGAAGCTGAGGAGGAGGCCGCTCGCGGTAATCGCGCAGCCGCAGCCGGAGACAAGCGTCGTCGCCGTCCATCGACAACTGGCACCGGACCTGGTCGTGCTGGACCTGGATCGCCGCAGACTCCGAATAGTACCATCCCACCTCCCCTTTCAATTCCAGCTGCCTCTCAACACCAGCAGCCACAGGCACCGCCTCCGCCACAAATATCACTTGGCTCTCCGACGAGTCCTCAGCAACAACATTCTCAAGTGCCTCAATCGCCTCAGTACGGAGCATCTCCAACTGGGGCATACGGTACGCATGCACAACATCATGGACATCATGCGCCTGGTGCCGGTCATGCTGGAAGCCCAACAGACCCTGGAATGTACGGCGGTCACATGGGCTTACCTCCTCCGGGTACCTACTCATACCCTGGTCCTGGTGGCCCTGGAGGGCAGGGTGGACAACCTTTAGGTGGACTAGCTGCTGCTGCGGCGCAGCACTCACATTGGGCCCCGCCCCCGCCAGTTAGTCAGGGAGGGCATTATGGGCGAAGATGATGATGACGATGATACGAATAATGACGCGTGCTTTTTACTTTTCTCATGCATGATAAACTTTCTTGTCCGTCCAAACTGGGTTGTTTTATGCTTTCTCATTTCTCTGCATGCATGCTTCTACTTCTTCGTCTCAGCTTCTCCGCTGTTAGTTACTCACAGCTATTTTGGCTGAATTTGTACAAATAATTGATCAATCTGGTTGTTCATTAACATTTCCCACTTATCCATATTTCGTTTTTTCTCTCTCTACTATTTTGGATGTTGGGTGCTAGTATGTCAAAAAAAACCCGCGGCTTTGAAACGTGAAGTTGGCGCGGCATGTACATGAGTCACTCGCGGAGTCTATGGGACTCCCCATTGTCAACGGGTAGTTGTCTCCACAATCGATCGCTCCCAGAATGAAGCGGTATCTATCGCTCCACGTACACGTACCTGATCCAATCCAATCCAAGATAATATCACTAGCGTAAGTATGGATACAGCAAGCCCGGAATAAATAGCGCCAATAAATTATGCAAGATGTCAGCGGAACCGAAATGCGCTAGAGGACATGCGTCGACAAACATGCAGCGATTAATAATACAATTCGGTGGTAGAGGGGGGGGAAGGGAGCAGCGGAAATGACCACTCGGCGACATATCACGATAGGCTGGCGAACAGGGTTTCTCCCTGGACAAGCCGAGGATAACGAACACAACGCCACCCAGGAAATTACGATACCCCATTCCTTATTCCCCTCTGCTCCCTATTCTCCCAAATACAGTCATGAATGGAAGCCCTTTCAAGGACTCGAGGTATAATCCAAAAAAAAAATTGACAAAAAGGGCCTAACGGCACGGAGCCTTCAACAGCCCAAATTAAGAAAAATAGTTTCAAACTCTGAAACGAGGCGCTTCGCCACCGGCCTCGTGCATGAGATCCGGCTACGCTGATCATGATCATCATATCATGCTGTAGGCTTCCATGCAACGAAGACTCGTAATGAGCGGCTCAGACGCGTAGCCGGATGAGGAGAGCTGACAGCGACGGCGCAAGGCGTTCGATCACCACTCCCACCCCCAAGCCTTCGATACGCCTCCCATTTCTCGCATGCAGTATCAAACGAGCGCTTTTCTTGTGGTGTCGGGCCCGAGATCATACTCCAATTAAACCGGTCCTCGAGGACAGATCCGATACCCATGTGCTCCCTCATATCCCTGTAACAACACAAGTTGATTAGAAGGCGAGATCAAAAATAATGTGTGAAGAAGCAAGGAATTGAAACACTATCTTATCCCCTGTTTGGAAACCATGCCCCCTATCGGGAGCACATAGACTGAATGTTCTAAACGCGTATCATCCACCCTGCCGCGCCCCCCACGAAGAAGCAAAAAACGATTCCACGCCACCCCATCAAGAATAACGGCATAGATACCGAACTCGACGAAATTTGCACACCCAAACAGAGAGCGAGAAAGAGCACTCACAGCTCAAACCTCAACAACAGCTCATCAAACTGCGACCTCGTCAACCCCATAATCTTGCCATACACCCCATCCCTCCTCCCCATCCCTCCCGCCTGAAAATCACTTACCCACTCCCACATCGCTTCCGCGCATGCGACGATCTCTTTCACGCGCAGCGCAAGATGGAGATTTAAAAACTTTAGGTCGATATCTAACTCGGGGTTCGGCAATGCCCGCATTTGTGTCTGTCGTTGAATAGAGATTGCGCAATCGAGGGAGGCGTACGGCGACGCGCCGTTACTCAGACCAGCCAGCGAGATAATCGTGTTACTCGAGTGGGTATTCCTGTCGGCACCCTCAGGTTCCCTCCGCGGTGGGAAACGCAACAGGATCGGCGGGTGGGTCCGAACGTCTACACATATCCAAGTCAGTTGCAACTCTGACATCGCTTGCGAAGAAGTAGAAGATAGGTTTTAAGCGCGAGGATATAAGAATCACCCGAGACGTATCCATGCACCCCACCACCCATCATCATCCCTGCCCAAAAATGATGGAATGAACAACAAGGACTCACCTTTGAACCACAGCCCCACCGTATTAGCCAACAAACTCAATGGAGAAAGGTTAATGAACCGTTCCGCGTGCGTCTCGTTGTAAATCGTCTCAAGGACTGTATGGTCTCGCGGATCCGGCGGGATGACGCCTGTCGAATCTAGTGATACAACACCTCGCGAATCCAATGGCGGTGGCGGTGTCAGTGGTACGACACCCCCCAGTTCAAGCGACATGCCTCCCCGCGAATCAGGTGGCGTACCAACAGGAAACTGTACCTCCGACTCATCCTCTAACACTTTCGAACTCGGACTCGGACTCGGACTCCCAACACTAGGACTCGTCTTGACACCGAACAGCCCCAAGCCAGTCACTCGACTCCCAAACGAACCTTTGCTCCGTACCCTGCCGCTCTCCTTCACAGATTGACTCGAACTAGAACTAGAACTCGAACCCTCGCCCATCAACGAAGCCCGGCTCTTATTCTGTGGCACAAAAAAGGGGGTAAAAGTAGGTTCCATCAACACTGCCTGCGCTGCTTTATTCTTCTTTGGTGTTGGAGGTGAACCTGAGCCTGATGAGCTGGCTGCACTTCCAAAGCCAGAGGCAATGCTGGAAGCAAAGAGAGAAGCAGAGCCAGAACCAGAACCAGAAATGGAACCATTAATGGAAGCAGACCCAGACCCAGACCCAGTTTTAGAACGCACACCGACGAAAAATGGAGCAAGGGTGGGCTCCATCAACACAGCCTGCGCGGCTTTGTTGTGTTTTTGGGATGGTGGGGGACGAGTGACTAGTGAGGGAGCCGAGATTTGGTTCGTTGTGCTTGGCGTTGGTGTGGTGCTATTTGAGGAGATGGAAAGCTGCGAGGAGAAGTTCGGAGGAAATGATTGCGAGGGGCTCGAGGGGAACGATTGCGAGGAGGGGATTGGTTGCGAGGTACTCGAAAAAGAAGGTATAGTAGCTGTCCTCGGCCTCCTGAGCTCGTACGATCCATCGCGGGAGGGATGCTGGCGAGAGGATAGGGAACGATGGATGAACGACTGGGTCGAAGTCACAGAGAGGTTGTCAGGAGGGAGGGAGATGGATATAGTTGGGTATTGTTTGGAAGGGTCGTCACGATTGGAGTGGGCGTTGGCATTGGTGTAGGGTATAGAGTCAGGAGTGGTGGTGAAAGCTGCAGAGCGCGGTGAGCTGTTCGTGCTACCGACTGCGCTGCTCCTGGCTGATCCGGTCCTGGGGCTTAGACTAGAGATAGACATGGAAATGTTGCTTCCTTTACTTCTCAATGTCCCAACTTCGCTGCCTTCCCCATCTGACCCCGGGAAGGTCAATTCCTCTTCGATGACCTCAAATGCTGCGCCTGGTTTCATCACGCGGGTGATTTCTTCGAAGAGGTCGTCCCACTATTCGATGTTAGCATAGAACGTTGGAGGAAACAGGCAGACGGACCTTGTCCTCTGGCACGCCTCGAGCGATACGCTTTACGTGTACGAAATCGAAGGATTCGTTCGGGAATGGAAGGCATTCAAGGCTGTGCGAGTCAAGGATGGGATGAGAGCGGGATAAGGACTGAGTGAGTGGACGTACAAATTTGCTTGGACCCAGCTTACTCTGTTGAGTAGATCCTTGTTTCTGGAGAGACGAGGAAGGTCTGGGTTGAGAGGTACGATATCAAGGCCTGCAAGTGGTCAGCGCTCCTCGGGAGTGGTAGCTCAGGCAGGACTGACCGACGACTTGGCAGCCTTTCCAGTACTTGGCAGCTTCGATTACCCATACACCGTCCCCACAGCCTAAATCTAATATTCTCTTGAAGGAACCATGCGCGGGTGGTTCGTTCCAGGATTTTGGGAATGAATGCCAGGTCAAGGAACCGCCGCTCATTTGGCGAGTTAGGAGGGTATCAATAGCATCTCTGGATATATATGAGTTGAGGTCAAGGAACAAGATGTGCGCGTACAGATCTAGGGCCTTTCGTTCATAATTCCTGGGATAAGGGACTTGATAACGCCTGAAACGGTGGTGGAGCCTATGGGATGTGTCTATGCCGCCATGTACATTGAGTGCGAGTGCAGGATCGGAGGAGGGGAAATGGTCTCCTGCGCTGGGTGAGTTGGGTATCTGTGATCATGGATAAGGATGAGTGATGGTGTTGCGCGCAGTAGACGTACTTTGGAGGGAAGTGCGGCTGAAGCTGCACGTGCACCGACTGGACCGCGTAGAATGAAATCTGATGGAGGTGTATTAGTTATAGTTGGTATGGGTGGTTTTGATGGGTATGATGGTGTGCTCCATGGCGAGAGACCACCCGGGGTTGGATACATTGGATCCGGTGGTAATGGAGGAAGAGGGGAAGTTGGTGGTGGATAACGAGGAGGAGGAGCTCTTCTATGTATAAACTAAGATGAATTCAAAGTTAGAGTACTTGACAATCAGTCAAATTGAATCTCACTGGTACAAATTCCTTCTTCAGCCTTTCCGGATTTCTTGGCGGTCTGGATGGTAACGGTTCATGAATTGAAGAAACGGAAAACGGAAAGAGATCAATAATATCCAATAAATTATCGCTGCTGTCGTCCATCTTCGTCGTCGTCGTCGTCGTCGTCGCCGACGTCGACATAGCAGTAGATTTGAGGTATACAGGAAACGGAGCCAACATTTTGGATGTTGAAATAATACTAGACTCGTTCTTACATAGCCGACACAGCTAGACCGACGTCATATTTATCGACCAATAGCGTGACACCAACACAGTCTGAAACGTTCCTTGACAGCAAAACACTCCGCCAGGTACCGTGTTCATCAATTGAACACCACCCGTTCTTCAACTGATTCTCAAACAGTTCAACCCAATGTCTTCCACATCATCCTGGAACAGTCTTCGAGCACGACAGTTGAGCGCTGAGAGCACTGGCACTGACTCGGAGGGCTCAACTGGAATACTCTTTATCTATCTTTCGACACCTTGGACTTTATGAAACAGAAACGACTCTCCGATATACTCTCCGCTCCTATCACCCCTTCAAGAAAAAACTTCGTTCTTCCGACTCCGCCTCAAGGTTTACTCTGTCACACCCAATTTATTGCTTGCCTGAATGTTCCGGACGACACGCGCAACTGCACATGGCATTTGTAAATCCTTACAGGGCTTGGTGGAATTATGTAGGGCGAAAGGGCGGTGGTGCATCGGAATTATGCTTCTTCAGGATAGTCTGCCAGCGCAATAGCGGCAAGAACGCACTGGTAACGTGACAAAGTCTCACTTAAAGGCACACTGATTTCATGAGTAAATGCAGCTGCGTTCTATACGCGCCTAGCGGCAAGATTGCACTGGTCTGACAAAGTCTCACCTCAAGGCACACTGATTTCATGAGTAACCCAGCGTCAAAAGGTTAGTAACGGCTCAGTTTTGTTCGCCGATCTTTCCCGTCAGTTGTCAGCAAGATGCGATCGCATATACAAAGCTGATGATCATATTAACCCAGCGGCTATCGCCCTCCGTTCTTGCACTTTTCTGGCTTACGTGCTTCTAGTATTTTTCTGTTGATTTCATTGCTTCATGTATGATTTATTTCCTTTGACCCTAATAGTGCATCTTTCCTCATCCCGCAAGTACTTCGTGAACACCTGAGGCAAGCTTTCCATGCTTGCCCGCATGACCGCCAACACTTGTGAGATATGCTAGATTCCGCTCGGAAAGTCCTGGAGGTGCTGTGAACCCTAATCCGTGAAGGAAGCTGACGTTCCTGGCTCAACGTAAGATTCCAAGCTGGACACTTATCGCAAATTTGGAAAGTGAGTTAAACAATGCGTCGCGAGGAGTGCTGATGGCAAGCATCCCAGCAACGCACATCAAAGCTTAATAGCTACTAACAATGTCTATGAAGAGCTCGTCTAACAGATTTGTCGAAATAATGAAGGCGAGGGCTGAGGTGCATGAATGACAGACCCACCAGCCGCTCGAGGATGTTGAACCATGATGGACGTGCCAGTTGTTGCTTCGGGGATTGGCAGCGAGTTCGCTTTATCGATGTTGGTCGGCAAAGATCGTTCAGGGTAATTCGGACTCCATTATCCCGATTACTGACACGGTAGTACTTGCAGCCGCTCGAGGCTGATGTAGAGACACAGGTTTGTTCTCATAAGGTGATCTCAGACGCCAGCGCGACAGGTTTGTGAAGCATTGCATCGTGATTGAATGTCTTCGAGAGCTTCCCCGAGGACTTGAAGGCTGCGATCAAGATTGGGACACAGGATGAAGTCAATAAAGTGCTGGGCAGTGTGGATGCTAGCGTTGCGGAAGATGCAGTGGGAAAACTTGATGCGGCTAGTATCGTGAATTTCGCATCGCGAGGTGTTTAGGATGAGACTGAGAATGGCAAGGAAGAAGACGAAGTAACTTGATCCGAGGGAGTATGTGTTGTTGGTTGATCAGGTCAAAACACGCACATATTGCTGTACATGTGTTGTGTAATTGCTTTCGAACGAAGAGTCTGACGTATATTACAGAGATTCAGGACTATCAAGAAGTGGGGTGGAAATTCTTCAATACGATGCTGTTCCTGGAGGTGCCTAAGAGGTCTAGGTCGCGGGTTTACGATTGTCCGTCAATGATGTCCGTTGTTGATCATATCATGGATGTATGGTCGCGTGAGTACACTTGTGCAACGAAGGTGCCAAAATACTTGCGCGGTAAGGAAAATTAAAATGATTCAACTATCAGGCCCAGGCCCAGGGTCAAAGGTAACCGTTTATGATCGACATGAAACAACGAAATCAACAGATGAGCCGGAATGGAGTACGAGAGTAGTGCCAAGGAGTTGCTACTATATTAATGCGATCTCCAGCTTCAAGTTTGCATGCAGGGTGCCAAGCATAACAACATGGTCGTCAGAACAACTGCAAAACAAGATACTAGGGGAGACTTGCTTATCAGCCCGTCCGAATACCAGAAGATTGTGGAGTAGCTTTTTGATGTCGTGATGTTAAATCTGCTGGCAACGATGGAAGGATGTCGATGAATCGTGAAACCATCGGTATGCTTTGACTTGAATTAAACGTACTCCAGAGGGTTGATGGCAAGCATTTTGTCAGGATGCGGTACTCGTATATCTTCGAGTGATGTTTTCTCACTGAGTACCCGGACGGGCACGGGGGAGGCTGCACACCGGCAGACTATCGTCAGAAAGACTATAATAGATGCGTCACTGCCCTTCCTTCATGCCAACAACCAAGTGTGCCCTGCGAGGATTAAAATCAGCACCAGGAATACCGAGAGGTATGGCTCATGACCCCTGCAATAAATTCCATGCCAAATTCCTGTGTTGGATTTGCACGCGGGCCTCTCAGGCTCTGGAACATCTCAATGCAGAAGCAAGCAACAAACTCATTCCTTTTGGGCATATGCCCTGTGACAGAGCACACGGAGGTGCATGCAGTTACAGACGTTCTATCATCGAAGGCGTCAGACTTGGTAGCCATCGTGAAGAGGAAAGGAGGACTCACATAAGGGGCCTGAACTTCTTCGCTGATCATTTTTTCTAAACTTCTCGCTTATTGATCATAACTGGTTCTTCCAGGTGGACTTTGTACTCGAAGTACAACCGGATGTACACACGATAAAACACTCAGTTGAAACCTACTCGCTCATCTCCTCATCCTCGTCTTCAACCTCATCATTTTCCTGTTCTATATCAGTACATCCACCCTCCATCTGAACAACCTCCCCGCTGGCAGCATCCCACCTTGCCAACAACCTAACCCTAAACACCACCATCTTTTCACCGAGAAGTTTGAGCAGCTGCGCCTGTTCACCCGTCAAAACCTTTCCCTTATCACACACCCGATGAGGATTTTCAAGTGTCGGTACACCCCGCTTCATCGACGTCGTAAGACCCAGCTTCCGGAGCTGCGGGTCCTCATTATGTGGGAACGGTTCAGGTGGATCAGAGTGCACCCGCATCACAGGTCCTGCAGGTAGTATCACCGTCCGCGTAGCCTTGTTTCCCGTCCGCGCGTAATCCGCTTGTTTGAAATCGTCGAACCACTCTATCACTTCTTGAGGTTCCGAATCTGTGAAAAACAACCCTACCTGGCCTTTTATTTGCTGATATGTTTTGTCAGGGTTGAGATGAGATTGAAGATGGTGACTCACTTGAGCTAATTTGTGTAGTCCCATTCGGTGCTCTTCTTCTACTGTTGCGCCTAGGGCTTTGGCCATTACTGCACCTCGACCGAAGAATATCCGTGCTGAACTGTAGGTTATGAGTGGATGGTGTAGACAGGAAAAAGAAGCGGGGACATACTCTTTCCATAGTTTTCGCACAGTTTTTAGATGGGTATTGCGCATCGCGCCGACTTGAAACAGCCAGCAGTACTTCCATTTTTCGGCATTTCGTTGTACCTTGGGGAAAAAGGAACATTCAGCACTCGCATAGCAAGGGAACGAGCAGTAGAAACCGTCTTGCAATCATGGATCTGCCTCCGCAGAAATGCGTTCTGAGGAAACAACAAATTCCACAAAAACTAACCTCGGTCAAGAGTAAATTTTTATGCTCCCTCGTCTTTTTTGATACTTTTGTGAGAGATACTATCATCCACACACATCAGCCTTTATCATGATCCATCAAAGAGTATGAACTTGCCGATTTTTGAACGTCTTGACTTGGGCATGATATGTATGAGAACAAGGTTTAGCAAATGAAATCAAAAGTCCGCCGCTGTGCCGATTCAGAATTATCTTTTATCTCGATCCTCAATGTCGGACGCAGTGTCTCCAAGCGAGCTCTCTGCCCTCCGCGCTGCTCTCCTCAACACGAGCGGTACTGTCCCTCTGCACGATCGTTTCAGAGCTCTCTTCACGTTGAAAAGTCTGAAAAATGATGATGCAGTCAAGATCATCTCTGAAGGTATGTGGTTCTCTGAACATTTGTTCGTAGGATCCGTTTTCTTTCGATCCCAACACCAACGGCCATATCTTCTCATAGAAATGCCTTCTATGCGACTCGCTGCTAAGATCAGCGTGTGCTGACCTATGGTTCATCTGCCAGGCTTCGCAGATCACTCGGCACTGCTCAAGCACGAGCTTGCATACTGCTTAGGACAGATGAAGCTCGTCTCAGCTCTCCCAGTTCTTCAATCAGTGCTGGAGAACCTGGATGAAGATCCGATGGTCCGACATGAGGTGAGCGTCTTTATCGTTCCGTTTCGCACAGTCCCGTTTTTGTATGCTCCAGTGCATCATGATGCTAATTAGCATTCGAGACAGGCAGCAGAAGCAATAGGCGCAATTTCATCGCCTGATTTCAAGGCAGTCCTCATGAAGTACCTCACAGATCCCAACAGGAGCGTGCGTGAGACGTGCGAGATTGCGCTCGCTAAAATTGAATGGGATAATTCTGAAGAGGGACGCCAGCATCTTACCTCAAAGCATTCGTCAGATCAGACTCCGTATGTGGCTTTCATGTTCTGTTTCGACATTCCATTCTGAGTCCATTACTGCGTAATTCACAACACGTTTACAGGGCATACACTTCCATCGACCCCGCTCCACCCTCCTCCAAACTTCTCTCTGGTCAGCCCAAACCTGACGACCTGTCTGAATCTACAATCGTCTCCCTCCGCACCACGCTTTTGGATACTTCCGTCCCCCTTTTCCAGCGCTATCGGGCTATGTTTGCACTCCGCAACATTGGGACACCAGCAGCCGTGGATGCTCTAGCGGCAGGGTTTTCCGATGATAGCGCCTTATTCAAGTCCGCCTCTTTTGAATTTTTGACTTGGTACGATGCTAAACTCATTCACTGCAGGCACGAAATAGCTTTTGTTTTTGGCCAACTCTTGAGCGCGCACTCTGTACCCTCGTTGATAAATGTTCTGCAGAACGCGTCCGAATCCGATATGGTACGACACGAGGCTGCGGAGGCCCTTGGAGGAATCGCCACACCTGAGGTGCTGCCTCATCTTAAAGAATGGATGACGCGCGAGGATTCTCCGCGCGTTGTGCGAGAGAGTTGTCAGGTTGCTATTGACATGTGGGAGGTGTGTTTCTTCTCGTTCTCTATCAGCTTTAAAAATATTTTTCTGACGATTGGTAGTATGAGAACTCGGGGCAATTCCAGTATGCAAATGGACTGGAGAGCGTCAGGGTAGAGGCCACTCCTGCTTGATCTGTATTGTTGTCAAATTTAATTGTTAATCAACTTATATAAATGTGACCAATGCGCCGAATTTGCGCCAAATGTGATAGATTTTGGAATCTTGAAAGGTCGGCAGATTCTTATTTTCTTTTTACACATAGTTTCTCCTCTGATTTGCGTCTGCATTTCTATTAGATTCCATCTACTCCATCAAAAGACACAACCATGTATATTTTTCTTTCCATAGAACAAACAGAAATGGGCTATGGTTTGTATAGAGCTTGCAAGTATGTCGGATGATCTTCAAGAGTCTTTTAATGGCATCTGTTCCACCTGCTTGCTGCCGAGTTTCAGAACTTGTACGGCCCTGCGGTGGCCCATGCCCTTCATGTTTTTAGCGCATCTCTTGCTATCGCTTCAGCAACTATACGAACCTCTCAAGTCATGTCTCCAGTGGATTTCGGCACATGTTGGTAATGTCGCTCGCTGCTTAGAGAAGCTGTAATCGCCGACATCCAGACATGTATAAATTCATCAATTTACGCCACGCCTCTACAACAGGCTTCGAGTCTCTCGTTGAGATGAATGCTAATCCATCATTTTTCTTGGAATCGGGGACTGGCGCTTCCCAGCGCCGCCACGATGATATACAGTTTGCTCTTTCTGATATCTTTGGGTATTGATTGTATGTCGAATTTGCTGAGTTTGGGCGTGTTATCAATGAATAACGACGCTCATGTGCCAAGTCCCCGGCTCCCATTTTTCCTAAAATTCAGAATGGTGTCCCGTTGCAAGAGCTCAACGGATCACTAGCATGTATTGATCCAAAAACAATTTTTATTCATTCAACACTCATGATTCCATGGCTGAACATATCCAAACCAAATCGAGAACCATGCATGTCAGCGCGCTCCAGGCAATACATTGTCCATGATATAATAATGAACCAGAAACTAATTGTAGCACTCTTGTCTTTCGCCGTCATGTGCTGGGAGCACCCGCATTCTCCGTAGCTAGGGTAGATGGTTGGCCTGGACAACGAGCATATGGAACATAACGTTCATAGAAGACATGCCCATGTGGGCAAGTATAGAACGAACGAACGAACAAGACTCATGACAACGGGACTTCCAGTTGTATTCGACAAAGCCCTCCGTGGGAGTCAGGATCGTACTACGGCTCGCATTAGTGCATCGACTAATCATTTTGCATTAATCGACCAGCGTTCAACGAATCCCCCGAAAACGTGCATCATGTGGGGTTCATCGACATAAATGCTTATCCTATAACACAAGTTCATTTTCGTTCTAATTTGTCTCCATCGAGGATGACACATATGTAGAACAATACTTTATAATTTATGGGACCCGTTATGAGTTTGTGAATGCCCTGGTGTAAGGTTTGTCCCAGTCTATGCTTAGCAATAGCCGATAAGAACCCCGCTGTAAGGACCTATGTGGTCCAAGACATCGCCAGAAAAGATGTCCGGCACACTCTGGTTTGTGCACTTGTCATGTGTGTCATCGTCGTCACCTATACCGGTGAGAGATGATGAGCGATCATGTTCGAAAAGGCAAGTGTTATACTTGCCTGGACATTGGACTATGTCATCATCAGATACGATGTGGACTTCTCCGTGGACGTGTGAGAAGCCCAGCAGGGAATCCGGAACAATCGGGACAATGTCTAACTTATTGTTAACGCGTTGGAAGTCCTGTACCTGCCCCGTGATTTCAGTAATTAAACATGGACCCAATGAGGGGAAGGGACAATGATTCAAGCTTACCTTCGAATCAAAGAGAGTGGCCCATGCTGGATTTCCTACGCGGGGTTTACCAAATGTTACACCCTTGATAGCGATGTTAGAGGGAAGGTTCAAGGCCATAAACAGAGTTTCAATCTCAGCAAGGGCGCCTCCCAGAGAGTGTCCGACCTGCACTCGAAAATATCATTATTTTAGAGTGACTACAAAAATGTTCCATGCTGACCAGCGTGACACTCGTGGCGCCATGTTTAGAGAGCAGGCTCTTCACCTCATTCAAGATGGCGCTCGCAGTTTTCGCGTGCTCGTCAGCAAATCCGCCGTGAAGTTGGACGTCGCTTTTGACACCGGGAAAAAGTTTTGAGTCCGGGCGTTCCAGTAATCCATCGGCATCAGTGAGAATAGCTTCACTGTGTAGGCCAATAAGCTTTCTCAAATCGTATCCTGTGAAGCATGTCCACCTACATTGAAGTTGGGTCTGTGCCTTGATGAGCAACTACCACAGTATTTTTTTTCGGCCAGTAGCCAACGTAGTCTGCGAAATGTCTGGAAAGGCGTGCAATATTTTTATTGGAACGTACAATATTGGGTGTCGTCGCCGTCACCCCCTGCCAGAGAAACTTCAAATCCAGACAACTCCTGGCACGATGCTAAGAGTTCAATTATTGAGTCAAGGCAAACCAAATAGAGTAGGGTCTGATTGCGTACCACAATTCCATTCCTTTACGGTGTCAGGCGAACAATAAGCAACACGGGCAAAATGAGCATATGGCGTCAAATCAGCCACGTCGGTAGACGACATCTTAGTGACATCTGATACACCCGCCCGACGCGTTGCGGGAGCTGCGGGGAGGGGATCCGCCGCAACTTGCAAGGTGTATGCAAGCATAAGGCTTGAAGCGAAAGAAAGGAAGAACATGATGCACTGGGTGTAGTGGATATGGGTGGATGTCTTGTCAATTGTGCTGTAAAGATAGTCTTATTTATACTGAGTGTTTTGAGCCGGCAACCGCGTTTGAGGGATGATTAGTGTGTACGCAAACGGGCATAGAAGAGCTGGTACCATGCGATACAATTGTTCTGGCAGAACTTAGAGTTTTGCCAACCGCTCTGGCAGAACAGGTTGTCCCTTGCAACGGGACGGTGGCAGAATCTGGCAAGACTCCAAAACATCCGAAACTTGAACTTAATAACATGAAAGCCGACGTCCCTAGAGTAAGATAGTGCGCGATATAGAACGCACTTCGTGTCCTGTACTGGTCCAGAGAATATCTCGCTTGAAGACGTTGTTGCCGAATTTCGACTTTCGAGGGGTTGAAGAGGCCCGAAGAAGATCAAAGCATTGACGAAGTTGAAGTACTCGAGGGAAATGCTGTTGATTTCAGCGAGTTGGATCGGTCGAACAAGGAATAATTACACAGGCTATTAATTCTAGAAAAGGTTGAATGGTGAGGATGAAGGATAGGACTTATCGATGTCGTCGTTAGGAATGTCATACATAATGGTCCACATACCCTAGAGTTTTGCCGGTTGTGCCGGTTATCTAGACCGGTAAAACCGATCTCACACTTCTAGACATTGATGATAGGTCAATGCGACCTTTGGGCAAGTGTTCCGAGTCAGAGTCGTTACCGAGATGACGATAGACAAGATCAAAGGCAGCGGAGGAGGTTTAGTCGACGTGCCAGTCGCAGCCAGTGTGCACGTTCTACCTGGGGTGCGACGGCACAATCCGAAACACTTGCCCTAAGCAAAAACTTTAAGTTATGGCGAGTTTATAATTATTAAATTAAATTAAAAGGTCACATGTGATCCCCAGTGAAAACCATGCGGGAATGTGTGAGAGCATGCCACATCATGTACCGCCAGCTGAAACCACCCTCGCACAATGTCCACAAGAAATCCAACTGAATACAAGATGTAAAAGGAATCCATATCATGTGTCATCACCATCAGTAAATCATGAGTTTACCTTTTTCACTCCTTTTCCCACCTTTTGCCACTTATTTGAAATGGATCTACTTATTTTTCTTAAATTACTGCCTGGTCCCAACTGGACTATCAGGATTTATTAGCAATCATCATAAGAGCATGCTGTCAAATTTTCGGATTTTCAATTTGCAAGATGGTAGCTCAGGAGAGTATTCAAGAAAGAAAATTATCAGCATGAATGTGTCACTCAAACTTCACACCTCAAACTAATTGTTGGTCTTATGCAATGAAACATGTCTCTTAGGTCTAACAAACATATTGGAATACTCAATTTCGAAGCAGTTGTCAATTTCCAGAAACAAAGGAGATCCTGTTTGAAATAAGTGGCAAAAGGTGGGAAAAAGAGTAAAAAAGGTAAACTCATGATTTCCTGATGATGTGAGAGTTGTTCAAGTTGTTTCTACATGAATCTTAGTGTGTGTGGGCCGGCTTGGCCTGAAAGCTGCAGCTTAGGCCTGGCTTTGGGGGGCTTGGGCTTTGCAAAACCTCAGGCCAAGCCATGAGTAGTGATGTTCTGGCCCGGCTTAGGCTCGGCCTGGGGGGGCTTAGGCTCACCAGATTTCAAGCCTGAGCCATGAGCCCAAGCCGGGGCTTGGGCCCATGCAAGCCGCGGCCCACATGCTGAATTGCTTGAAATTGATGTCCAAGCTCCACCATGTTGTTCCCAACACCACGAACACCATGTGCAAACGCCCAGCACATGTCAGCAACTGCTGACGTGGCTCAGATGAATACAGACGATGGACGAGAGCAGGAGAAGGCAGTGAGAAAGAGAAGGTGGACGATCGGCACTCGAGATGACTAGTGCTGAATACTGATGGATTATGTTGCGACCCAGATTAGTACATCTTGAAGGGGCTCAGTATTATTAGTTGGTAATGTATCACTTACCTGGTTTGTATCTTCTGTTACAAGAACATCTAGACACTTGGGCCCCTACCATTTTTCTCCTCATCCTCCTCGTATCAGCCCTTGCATCATACCCTTACCCCGACCTCACCCTTGTTATCCTCGTCATCCTCGCATTCCCTTTCGCTCTCTACCTGTCGCTTCAGCAGAGCCAGTACATCTGGCCGGATCCTTTCGCTGACGAAGCATACCCATGCTCCGTTCCACCACCTGACTGATCCTGTGGACAGTCCCCTTGCTCTTACCATCCGGACGGTAACCTATGATATGATGCACGACACATCCCCTTTGCCCTTTTCCCTTTTTCGATCTCTGACTCAGTGCGCAGTTGCACATGTTACTTATACTTAGATCCGCAGTTGCACGATCGTGCCCCTGCACGTTTCACTTCTTGTTTTGACCTTTGACTCACTTTCTTATCAAGCACGTTCTGGTTCACCCGTGTCTCACCCCGAACGTGCCTTCCTTTTATGGTTATGCCCTTTATCGTTTACTTCACATGGTAGTATGAGTTATCACCCACTAATACACCTCCTGTCCTCTATATAAACTCGCTACCATGTACCATATTCCCTAACTTGAATCTACTTGGTTCTTGACCTCCTACTCTCACCAGAGTGATCCTTTCTGCCTCGCCAGCAGTCTATATTCTATCTTCTTATCTGCTCCTCGCGGATAAGCCTATAGTCTTGATCTTTACTCATCGACTTCGTCGACGAGCAAAGCCCCTGTTAACTAGTTGGACTTCTGTCCTTCTAATTAACGACGATCTTACAATTAACCTTCGGGTGTCGTAAGCCTAGGCTGATATAGCTTATCGTCTCGCACCCGCTTGACATAAGCTACCCGATTTGGACATAGGCGTCAAATCTTACTTGCCGAAGCCTCGCCAAGTAAGACCCCTAACCTTGGGCTAGCCCAAGGACGTCCTCGACCATTGACGACACACGCTCTGTTTGAGCGTCGCCAACAGATACCATCCAAGTCGTAACATCTTCAAGCACGGCATCCCAGTTATGTTCGTGTGCAAGAACAATAGCACGGTGCCCATAGCAGACAAATTTTCCTTTCTTTCTTGTGTGAATATGATCTGTGGTATGGTCAAATCGCGTGTGTCATAGTAAGAGTCAATAATGAGGACGTGCCAATTGCTGAACACACAATGGCAACCACTTGTAGGGCGTGACCACTGACATGACAAGGTGTCATACCAAAGCCACGGCTTGGGCCGCTGGCTTAGGCTTTTCTGAATCCAAGTCCAGGCCTAAGCCCTGCTCAGACCATGACTTAGGCCTGGGCTGGGCCCGGCTTGGGCTGGCCCAGGGCTTCAAGCCGGGCCTTGCACATCACTAGCCATGAGTGATCTAAGTATTTTTTTTTTGTATTCTTGTTTATTGTCCAGTGGGGTGGAGCCCTATAGTAGACAATACCTACAGTATTTATGGTCATATACACTTGTGTATCTCTTGTTACTATGCTAATGGTCCAGGTGATTAGCGAGGATGGAGGCGCCATCTGAAGGCATGTGTTTGGAAGATGGGTGATCAGTCTGTTCTCTCTGCTCCAATGTGTGCTCTAGCCCTGTTCTGGTTCACATGGTTTTGAGGGTGAGACATCCCTGAAAGTCTGTTCCAGTCTCCTTGTTCGTGCAATGTAGCAGAATAACAGTTTGATGAAGCTCTTGTTATTTAGGAGTTGGTGGAGTTGATTTGAGCCTGAACCCCATAAAACACATATGCAACTTGCACTTCAACATTTCCAACTGAGTGACTAGAGCTACTCTCCTCTGCCTCTCTTCAATCTGTCCAGAATGGCAGTGTAGATTTGTATCTCTGCCATCTTGTCACAGATGCCCTCATGTTGCTCCTCAAGTAATGTCAGGAGGTGTTCTCTAATCCACCTCAGTCCTATCACTGATGGGACTGAGGTATGATCCACCTGCTCCGGAATTGTCAGACCATCATTCTCAATACCATCCTAGAACAGATCAGTCATGAATCAAGGAAATGGAATAAGAATCTTACTAGCCAATGCTGGTAGTGAAAGATACAGCAAGTCATCATCCAATCCCATTGCCATGGTTCGTTCGGGATTGCAGTTTCTCCCATCCACCATGGGGTATCATAGCCAGATACGATCTGGGATGGATCTCCAGGATCTGTGACATCATGAAACACACAGATGTGATATGAAAAGATGTGATCTGGAACCGTGTTCCAGGTGTGACTGGGAATCAAATGAAGAATATGAGCAATAGGGCTGGGAACGACCGAAATGATGTTCCTGGCAGCTGAGTACTGGAGGATGGGCGTGACAAAAGTCTGTGGAAGATGTCAGCATTAACCGCCAGTGTCGTCAGGGTCTTACAGTGATCTCCCATTGCAGCCTGGCTTTGAAGTGCCTGATCTGAGCCAAAGGGGGAAGATTGTTGTTTGCAGCCTCTGCCTGATATTGGGAGATGGATGCGCGATGCAGACATCAACATAGTAGCTGAAATGTCTGCAGGAGTGAGAGTGAGGGGCCAGTACTCATTGAGTGAATTCTGATTGTCAGAAGTGGATGCAGGAGAAGGATATAATTCAGGCATGGCTGATGCAGGAGTATCACACTGGCAATGGCAATGACAGTTGGTTCAGATGTGAAGATATCATCCACTGATGGATGGATAAATTTTTCAAACTCCAACATGGGCTGACCTGGCCAATTCCCAGGACTAAATTTGTATATCAAAATGGTTGTTATATCCCATCGGCAATAAACCATTCATTCATCTCAGGAATCTATCAAAATGGTCTGCAGGTGTTGAAACGCTGCCTGGGCATCCTGTGCCAGCAATGAATACATTCGGGATTGCCTTCCGGAGTAGCATGCATGACCCGGAAGTCGTTTCGTGAATGATTTCTGCATCCGGTTGCCCCATTGGGTTGCTTTCCACAAGAAAAAGTTACATGTCCAATCCATTTCAAATTGGACCAACATCAGCTCTTCCTTCCATCGATCCCATAGTGCCTTTGCCCGGAGCCAGTGAACTTGGTAAACTTCATATTCGTCCAGTCAGCTCAACGTTGGACATGTCGAGCATTAGGGAACTCACATTCCTCATTCCATGATTGATCTGGACCATGCATGTCGACCTTGATGGACCAGAACCATATGAGGGATTCATTTTGTTGACCATGGGCATTTGGATCACCCACAGCAGTGCTGACTTTGAGCTGCTCGTGAAGCAGGGGTTTGTACTTCTGAAGTTGGCCATGCCCCATGTCAAGTTTCATCATTTGCGTCCTGGTCTTGGTATATATACTCACATGCAGGGAGACAGCCTGCTGCACTGATGTCACCTGCGACCAGGCTCGAGTTTTCAGGGCTTGAGATTTGGCTTGCCTGACCATTGTTCGGAATAGGACTGCCTTGTTGCACAAGTGAATGCGAGGTTGTGAAGTGCATTATTTGCCTGCCCTTCGCGAAGGGACATCTCCAGTAGAATGAGATCCTCTGCCATCAAGCGTCTGCATTGATCTACCCCAAGGTTTGATGGCAATGGGATCACAATGAGCTTGGGCGAGTTTGTCCATGTATCAGATGTCTCAGGTAAAATCTTCTGGGTCATCATCGAGATTATCTAGGATGTCTACGTTCAAGTTGTCATGATCGTCATCTCCATTGAATCCCTCTCCGAGATGCGTGACAGCAGAATGCATAAATCCATCTATCTGGCCTTGGAGACGATCTTTGTCACGAGTACCTTTAACAAATCACTATTCTTTCTTGAATCTTCCTAAGCGCCAATACACAGTGCCTAAGTCAAACCCTAACCCTACCCCTGAAAGCGTCTACCAGTTCAGAAATTCCATTAGCGCCCACGACATGTGTCTTCGATGTGACTGATGAAGAAGACAAGTTCTTTGATTGTGAATAGATTAGATAAGATACAATAAGATAAGATATGGTCACGTGATGCTTCTTTAATATTCTATGATGTTCTATGGTACGATTCCCTTTTCTATTTTATGATTGGCTAGTAGTTGTAGCTCAGTTTCAATCTTCGTTTCAATAGTTGTATATAGGTAGCACGTCTTGGTCGATAGTTCCTTAGTTCAAACCTCTTGTATCTACAACTGTAGCAATCCAAGACAGTACTTGCTCTTCTCTCTCTTGTCCGATAACCTTAGTCGAGTCCTAGTCTCTGCCCAAGCGTTAATTCGTTATTTGGGTTGTGACAATCTTGTTGCCAGGCGAGGTCTAATCTCTGTGTCTCTGTAGTTTGTTTTCTGATTCTTCAGACCTCGATGAGCAATGCAATTTGAGCCTCCTCGATTGCCAACCCCATAGATATCCATGTCACCACAGATCTCCAAGATGGTGCTGCATTATGGGCATTACCCTGCTCTAGCAGTCTAAGTTCGATCTCCTTTTCGCTCAGTGCTGAGTGCAAAATTAATTCGGACTTCTATGGAGACATGGTCAGCTTACCCTTCTTGATATTTATCTCGTAAACATCCATCGCCAGCAGGATCATTTATTCTGCTGGATTGAGCAATCCTCTCATTGGCCAACCATTCTGTCTTCAAATTGGCGGGTGCTGCTTCATTGAGTCTGTTGAAAGCCTTTTCACTTTCAGCGATGCAATTTTTTGCCTGCTTGTATTTATGGCAAAGGGTCCTTTTCATGCAGATCATCTTGCAGAAGTTGGAATCGTTCATCTGAAAATCGAGACATTCCTGTCGATGAGGGGATGACATTCCCAGAGCAGTGGGAGAAATTAGGTTGAGACGTGCCCAGAGAGTCTCCATGATCTCTCCATCTATCTGGCCAATGCCTTCAATGAAATTCGACACATATTGGACATAGCAGCTGTCTTGATGTCCATGCATGTGCCACAAACCGATGCCGGGAATGATGGTCAATTCCGGTACCATTTCAAGAAATTGGCTTTGATCCACCCAAACCCGAAGGTGCTTGTTGTATTGACAGTTGATGTCATAAAAGGTGACAGCCCTGGTAATGCCTTCCATGTTGTGCTGGGCAGCCTTGCAAAGGGCGTAGTCCATGTTCATTTGTCTGCAAATGATGCATGATCAACTCATGAATGTAGAACTTCATGTTCAGCTTGCCTTTTGCCTTTCTGAAAATTGACCATCGCATGAGGGACAAAGCAGCCGTGGTGGGCACAAACAACTCCCCCAATACCTGTCAACTCCAGCTTGTGCTGAGCTGCATTTGCTTGATTTACTGCCTGGTGATTGTTGCAGCTAGATTTTTCCAAAGTGTCAGCAGCCTCCGCAAGATGCGCTTTATACCTGTCCTTTCCAACCATGAACCCCAGCCCATCTGCAAGCCATACTTTATCAAATGGCTTGATGGGATGCAAGTGTTTGGCTTTGAAATTACCGTCCATCACAAATGACCAGGTATATTTCCAGCTTGGAGTTCTTATCATCACTTAGGTCACTTAAGTATGAAACTAGACTCACTCATCAAGTGTTTCATTCCCTGACAAGGATATGTTGATCCCAGGCTGAGGACATGTCGGGCAAAACAATGCAAGATCTCCGGTATTCAGGGCATTGGAACGATGGCCAAAGCCATGCCATTTCATGGTCTTCAACTGCCTCCACTGTCGAGTGACTCTCATGAGCTCTCTGTATCGGTCCTTGCCAAGTGCCTTGTCAATATAATGTTCTTTAGATGAAGGAGATGTATAATTATCGGAACAAGGTGAGGAAACATGCTGGAGGTCATTCACCAGAGCTTGCTGTAATAGTTCATCACGGAGGTGCTGCATTCTAGGTTGTCTAATAGAAAATTGTTGAGCACTCTGAAGGTGAACACAGTCTTCGGTTTGTTGAATGATGCAGGGAAAAATCCATGTCGAAACATTTGAATGTCCAGACTCATGGTGTTTGGACAATCACAGCATCGAACCTCAAGGCGATGAACTCCGGACTTGTCAATGATGACCATGGTGTGTTCCTTAGGCTGGAACTCTGGTCCCGACACGGATGGTAGATCTTCAGGCTCAAGCTGGTCTTCGGGTTTGTCTCCTTCAAACAAATCCCACCTATTTGCAAGTGCAGGACATTCTTTGCCATCATGACCGAGGTGTATGACGAGTCCAACATGAGCGAGACAACTTTGCTCGAAGAATTGACCATTCCATTGACTGATCCAGTGGAAAGGATTGTGATGATGTTGACTCCTGCAACATCCCGTGCAATAGAGTGGCTCCCCAAGACAATCTTGACATTTGTAGACCCCATCCTGGTCGCAGACAACACATCTCCTATCTTCTGTAGGAGCTTCTCAATCCAGGAGGTGATGCAGATATGATTCCTGCCTTGGGAGCCATTGCCTCAGGTAGTCATTCTGGCTCTGCATTTGTTATACTTAGCAAGGTTTGAACAACACTCCAACGGTTTACATTCACTTGCCATTGTTTTTGGAAGCTGCAAAGGCTTGAATGAGCCTTGGTCTTGCTCATAAGTATTATCAGGACAGTCTTCCCAAGCAGGTGGTGCAGGAACAGGCTGAAGTGTTGGTGATTCTGGGGGAGAGTTAGGCATGGACCTGTAGGCATGTCGTCTTGCGCTTGCAAGCGGGACCTTGACCCAAGTTCTCCTACCTTTGCTGCCCCTTGCTTCTATCCTGTGGGATTTTTGCAGCAGGGTGCATAGACCTATCTTCATCTTATTTTTGAATGTTGCAAAAACAGCATTAGCTCAGGAAGGTCGCAAGAATTGTTACAATGCTATGTTTGTGCAGTATTGGTTGTTCATTACAAATTTATTTCCATTAATGGCATCATGTCCGATATGGGTTGATTAACCAACTGTTAGGCTTTGGTCAAAGTTGAACTTCGAACCAATATTAATTACGCCTTGCTTACCCTCAGCACATTCACCAATTAGAGTCACCATGGCAAGATCAGGTCATTCCACTCACTTGTCTCCTGGAAGACATAGGGCATGTCAACCCCAGACACAGAAGCTCACGGAAACCAAAATTTCTGAGCTGAAGAACTACCTTCCTGAGTGGACTTGTGCAAAAAGGAGCAAGAAGCGGGCAGTTTTCACTGCAATTGCCAGGGCTGCCAGGTTGTTTGCACCAAAGGTGGACCAAGGACAATAGAAAAAGAGGAAGCAGGTGATACATCCTTGTTGCGATGCGAAACAAAATTTTTAATGTCTTACACTTCCTTCAATGCTCAGATGTACAAGACTTGGTTGTTCAACAACAAGAAAAAGAAGGAAAGGAAGGACATGATAAAGTATGGGAGGAAATGGATGCCTAGGATGGTGATCTACCAGGAGAATCAGGAAGAGGTGCTGAAGAGGATCGAGGATGAGTCCGGGGCAAAGCCAGGAGATCCTGGTATGTTCAAGCATTATCAGGCGGCTGTGAAGAGAGTCATGGCTGAACTGTCCGATGACGAGTTGGAGAAGGCGAAAGAAACCGTCGAAGAATGGTCCAACAACTGTCCTCCTTCCAAGATACAAGCACAGGTCGCCTGTAAGAAGGGACCTGCATATATGGAGCACTTTTTGAAGGAGATGTGGAGGCAATGCGGGATGAGAGTGTTTGTGTTGTCAGCTTGGAAGAATGAACAGGGCGAGGTGCTGTTCGGGATGTGAGTGAATTTTACCTGTCATTGCAGATCTTTCAACTCAATATATTTCATGCAGGCACGATGATAATGAGGCATTAGGAGATGGGGACAGCTTCATGAAGACAAAGGACTGGGAGGACATTGAGCCTGGTGTGGCAGGAGTATGCGCAGGAACAGTTCGGTGAGTGTTTAAACTGTTGATACCAGGAGGGGTGTGTTGATGGTCTCTGTGATAGGTGCCGGGAGCACGGGAAGGTGGCCGACAGATGAAGGGAGGTCGCAAGAGAATCCGAAAACCAGCCTTCGAGCTCGACACTGATGAGGATGGGATGCCATTGCTTCCGGACATCACCGAAACAAAACTCGAGGAGAAGAAGGCCATAGTCAGGGCTTTTCTCACATTGCACTATCAGTGAGTCAATCCTTGCTACATCTGGGACATTGTTGAATGCATCGACATAGGGATTTGTTCGGGGATCGACAAGGCAGTAGTGCCATGGAGCACCATCCTTCAATGCTAGGATGACTTTGTGTCACGAAGATATCTTCCAGCGGATGTCGACTTGAAGGAGCCTTCCAAGTTGCAAAATTGGGACATGACAGCCCTCCTCAATTTCTGGTATGCTCGGCAGGAGAAAGGCGAAGGATCAACATTCATGTTCAAAGCGTGGAAGAACAAAGATGGCGACATGGTAGCATCAGGTCGTATCAGGCAGGTCGCCTTCCCATCGGACAGGGTAAAGTCAAAAACACGCAAAGGGTAATCATCTGAAGCCCTAGGGATTCATCCTCCAAACCCGACAGTGATTTCGGGAATGACACTCATTATACAGATGATGATGATGATGATGATGATAATGACTCGGCTGATGGTAGATCACCGAAAAAGAGAACCAGAACCAGAGAAGGTCCTTCATCATCACATGCAGAGACGGCAATCCCACTGTCAATTCCGAAGCCTCGCCCTGTCAAGCTGGCAAAACGTGGTGCACTGCTGACATCGCGAATGGGCAACCTCCTGGCAGGGTTAACCAACAGCAACACTGGTGATGTTGATGATGATGTTGCAATGGAAGGGAGGAAAACATCGCCGGCTCCAAAAAGGATGCAGGGAAAGACAGCTGTGATTGAGCCATCGGCGAGGACCACCCGGAGTAAGTCGACGCCAAAGCCATTAGACAGTACTCCTCAGGTGACAAGAGCGAGAGGAAGGAAGTGATGGACTTATCCCACACTGTCTCCCCTTATGTACATATCCATGTCATGCAATGGGAAGTAGGTTATTGGTGCGCCAGACTCGAAACATGGACCTGGTAATCAATACTCAGGCCTTGGTAGTGCTCGGATAGTGAATAAATCGGAAATGGGAGTTCAATACATCCATAATTAAGTAGTTTACATGACGTGAGTGGGTTCATAAAAATTCGGAAGTTCACAGGTAATTTGTCTACTAACAGAAATTGTGTAATTTACATTTGAATTTGATCTTCAAACCTAAGAATGAGGGAGTCTAATACCTTGAGCATTTCAGAAGTCAAATGTTCAGCTCTTTGCAGCCTCCGGAGGTCTTCATCAGCTCTTCTGAGTTTGTCAGATGTTTCTGCCCAGGCAGTTCGGAATGATCTCTCAGCCTTGAGTAGTTGTTGGATGGATGGGTCGGGAATATGTCCGTGTCGCTGTTTGTAATCCCAGACCCGATCTTGAATGGATTGAACTAAGAGACAAATTAGCAGAAAGATAAATGATTATATCAGATACTCACTGCCTGTGTGATTGTAAGACTCAAATGGCCAGAGATCCCAGACCATGGCAAGCAATTCTTCATACGTGACATCCAGGTGTGGCAAATCATGTTCGGGAGATTTTGCAATCACTTAGGAGATGAATTAAGTAAGGAAACCTGGATGGTAGGGAGAAACCTATATGCCCTGGATACTACCAGTGCACCTGAGACCTCACTATCCGAATCAGCATGCTCCTGCTTCACCTCACAGTCGATCAGATCATCTTCAGGCCCTAAGTACATGTCTGGGTGAATGGGGAAACCTGGTTGATCAGGTTGGGCCAGAAGAGATTTATCTGTATGGTTTTAGTGAACAGAGATGGTGAGATGTTTTGATTGACAGACCAGGGAATTCTGGCATAAAATCTTCATCAGGCCCGAGGTACAGGTCTGGGTGATAAGGTTGGGCTGGAGGTGATGGATCTGTCAGGTTTTAGTAACCAGGGATGGCTGGACTTTTCATTTCAATTGATGAACATATCCGGGATCTCAGTCATAATATCTTCATCAGGCCCGAGGTAGAGATCCAGGTGGATGGCTAGACCTGGCATATCAGGTTGGGCCAGAAGTGATTGATCTGCAGGATTTTTGTGTCAACATGCATTGTTACATTATTTAAATAATACTCACCGTGCATCCCAGCCATCAGGTCATCCTCAGGCCCGAGGTATAGGTCCAGGGTGAACCAGGAGGCATGGTTGATCACATTGAGCCGGAGGTGAATGATCTGTGAGATTTGAGTGACCATAGATGATTAGATTGTCATCATATCAATTGATAAACTCACCGGAAATTGGAGAAAAGACCTCCAGACCATTGGATGACACAGAACATGATTCTGGGTCATCAGCAGGCCCAAGATATAATTGATCAAAGGATGTCCAGTGAATTGATAAGGTATGATGGATATTGAACATACCTGTTGACATCCGGGACACAGTTGATTCATCCACATCCATTGAGTTATATTCAGTGACCGGAGGGTCATTGAATCTAACTGTAGCAGGGGAGTTCATGTTCTGTGAGGAACTGATCAACTGATTCACTGATTATTGATAACTTCGAAGTTGAACACAAGGTGCTGGCAATTGCCGAAAGTTGAACCATGACCAAACAAGGACAAACAATCAATGAAATTTTACATTGTTAATCACTGATCTTGTTTTTACTGAAACATCATCCTTGTGATAACTGATTTCAACCTGAATACAACTTGATTTCTACCTGATCTCAACACTTTCAACACTTTCAATTGAAATACCATGTCTACTCTGGTTGACACCTCTTTGACCGGCCTCAAGGAAATCACTGCCAAGATCATGGCCATCATCACCGGCGCTTGGCAGCTTCCTCCGGGCCACAGCCACTTTTCTCTGACAACCCAGGTCAGTACACTCGTGGTATGTAGCATTGTCATATTTTCTCCCCTTCATTTTTTTAATCATCTGGATAGGCTGATGTGGTCCAGCACTATGGGAGTGGTCCCTACCTTCTGGGTCTCGTGTGTTCATGCTCAAGGGAGTTAATTCGTGTTCGGGGCATGACTCCTCAGGTCTGGCCCAACTGGCACAGCATCAGGTATGACGATACCTGTTTGTTGATGCACCCCTGGATGCAGCAAGGTTCTTGCCTGGGAGGAGTTAGGTGATCACACCTTCGATCTCCCGGTTGTGGCCAGTCCTTCAATAGGTCCAATTCCTGTGGATCTTCCACCCTCGCCAGGCATTCTACCAACCCTGCCTCCAAGTCCTGGGAGAAGGGAAAAGGTAAGGCAGTTGTCCCAGGACCTGGAACCAGAAGTGGAAGGGAGTCGGAAGAGGAAGTCTCCAATGATTCCGGCACTTCCCTCCCAACCCCCGAAGTCCACTATGAAGACTCGGAAGCAGGCAAAGACCACCGGCCTTGCCAAATTCAAGGTGTTTGTTGAGTCGGAAGATGAGGAGGACTTGGTCACTCAGGTATGTCCTCTGGTTCATTGTCTCATTGTCTTACTCATTTTGTAGCCGATTTCGTGTGGAGTGCCGGAGGTCGTCCTCCCCCAGCTCTCCCCAGATGTTGCAAGGACGTCCAGATCACCTCAGGTCACCTCAGAGCTCGAAGAAGAAACCCTTCGGGCCTGCTACTGGTAAGTCGCACTTTTGCATCCAGCACTCGGGTGAGTCCTTACAATGTGCCAGGCAATTGCTGGCAAATGTCCAGAGGTCATCGAGCCCCCTCAGGCAACTCCCGAACCTCCGGTAGAGGCGCCCCCAGTCATCGATGCAGGTGATATACTCATTCCTGGACCCGTAAGTACACTATTGAGACTTGGTGTGTCTATGAACTGACAGATCACACAGAACAACCCTTGCCAGGCTTGCCACAAGATGGAATGGCCCTGTACAACTCGGTTTGACAAGAGGACCGGCGCCCCGTGCATGTCCTGCATCTATTGCACCACCAAGAAGATGAAGTGCATCTCCATGAGTATGGGAACCCTGCCAAAACGTGTTTGAGGTCAATCTGTCACCTGGACCACCAGGAGGACCAGATCCAGGGCCCCTTCCAAAGCTCCCTCCAAAGCTCCAGCTGCCTCACAATCCACTGGCCGGACGCAGAGTCAATCTTGGGTCTCTTCCGTCATTCCTGGTCTATCTCATGCCCAAACACCAAAGGCGCAAACACTGTGGTCGCAGCAAGACTGTCACTGCTGCCAAGGAACCTACACCTGCACCAGCTCGTAAGTCACCCAATTTTTCTATGTCCATCTGACATAATGTTCCACCTGTAGCAGTCCCATCTTCGACTTCCGGAGTTCCTCATTCGGCACTCAATGTGCCAATGCCGGATTTGCATGCCATGGCAATGGCGATTTGGGAGGGTGCAGCTCGAATCACCGCTCTCGAGGAGTGTGTTGTTGAGCAGGATGCTAAGATTGACACCCTGCAATGCCTTCATGAAGGCCTTTGACGTGAAATCATCCTCCAGCACCCAACATTTCCACTTCTGGACGCCCAAGGTGATGCAACATCATTTTTGCTTCATCAACCTGTCCCTCCAGCGATGTCAACCCCCGCATCCACACTTCCTCCTTTCATTGACCTGTCTATGGAAGGGACAGAGCCAAACCCCCCCAACCTCCAGGATGAGTCTGCCATCGACGGACTCATATTTGAGCTCAACCAAATTCATCCTGAGGTTTCACAGATGCCCAGCAAAATTGTGAAACTGGATGATCCGAGCAATCTTTTCCCAGAGTATGATTCAGTTGAAGAGATGGATGTTCAAGTGAAGGGTGAACCTTCTGGTGAGGATGTTGACATGACTACATAATTAAATAGTCATAGATGTATATGCAATGTTTTCAATCAATGTTACCTTTGTTATCAGTGACTTATTGATTCACCGAGTGCTGAGACCCGAGGCCTGAAACCTGCAACTCGAAATGAGTGGAAGACTAAATGTTGCAAAATTGTTGACATGAAAGTGTTACTCCCAGAACACCAAAATCCGAAACTCAATGGTTGAATCACTGAGTACTGAGTGCCGAGTGCCAAGTGCCAAGTGCCAAGTGCCAAGTGCTGAGTGCCCATGCCCGAAACCCGAGGCTCAAAACACAACACTGGACACAATACACCATATGGTATTTCTTACAAATTTCACAGAGGTCCCATTGCAAAACCACGAAACTTATCAGTGACTTATCAATTCACCGAGTGCCGAGACCCAAGACCCAAGACCCGAATGCCAAGTGCCGAGGCTCGAAATCTGAAACACGAAATGAGTGGAAACCCACATTTTGCAAAATTGTTGACATGGAAATGTTACATTGTCTTCAACAGTTTGCCAGATGTCATTTTCCAATCCCCGAGCCCGAAACCTGAAACCTGGAAAACCCATAATGAGTTCTATGGGTTTTCCGGGTTTCAGGTTTTGGGCTTGGGGATCAGAAAATGACATCTGGCAAACTGTTGAAGACAATGTAACATTTCCATGTCAACAATTTTGCAAAATGTGGATTTCCACTCATTTCATGTTTCGGATTTCGAGCCTCAGCACTTGGCATTCGGGTCTTGGGTCTTGGGTCTCGGCACTCGGTGAATTGATAAGTCACTGATAAGTTTCGTGGTTTTGCAATGGGACCTCTGTGAAATTTGTAAGAAATACCATATGGTGTATTGTGTCCAGTGTTGTGTTTCAAGCCTCGGGTTTCGGGCATGGGCACTCAGCACTTGGTACTTGGCACTTGGTACTTGGTACTTGGTACTCAGTGATTCAACCATTGAGTTTCGGATTTTGGTGTTCTGGGAGTAACACTTTCATGTCAACAATTTTGCAACATTTAGTCTTCCACTCATTTCGAGTTGCAGGTTTCAGGCCTCGGGTCTCAGCACTCGGTGAATCAATAAGTCACTGATAACAAAGGTAACATTGATTGAAAACATTGCATATACATCTATGACTATTTAATTATGTAGTCATGTCAACATCCTCTCCCCTCTTCACTGGGCTCTTATGGAACATCAACACGCATTCAGTCAAGATTCCGCTCTCCAAGAAGGAGAAATGCCTGGCAGCAATATCAGCCTGGGAAGCCCATTCTCGCCACACCCTCCTCAAAGTCCAACAACTTCATGGAAAACTTCTTCATGCTGCTCTTGTCATCCCAGAAGGACGAGCGTACCTCATTGAACTGGGGGCCATGCTCCCATTATTCAGTAATAACCCTTTTGTGCTGCATTCCCCACCCAAGAACTGCGCCGCAGACCTCAGGTGGTGGTCCACAACTCTACACCAACCATCCATCAGCTGCACCATCCCAGGACCATGCAGTGTCACCGACCTCAATGCCTTCTCAGATGCTAGCTCAGGCATGGGAATTGCAATCTGGGTTAATGGGTGGTGGAGGGCCTGGCACCTCATCCCAGGCTGGAAAGCCGACAACTGCAATATCAGCTGGGCCAAAGTAGTTGGCTCCCAGGCTCAGCAAGAATGAAACCACACTCCCTACCAGCCAACAACCTGACTTGCATTCAAGACATGATGTGCCATGTGTGGGCTACAAGCACCCATGAATCATATGGATCTGGCCTACTCGTCTACCATGTATTCTGCGACTCCTGCTCAATACCCGAGCTTGAACAAGCCCCAGCGTCCTCCATACTTATTTCAGCCTTTATTGCTGCCGCAGCTGGCTCTTACTTGGGGAAGACCATAGCAAACTACGTATTTGGTGTACATGCATGGCACATACTCCATGGACTAGACTGGTCACTCAATGACGTCCAGATTGACGCACTTCTAAAGGCTACAGAGAACCTTACCCCTCAAACCTCAAAGCGCAAGAAATGGCACCCGTACACAGTTGAATTCATTTGTTCCCTAGGCAGTCACCTTGACCTTGATTCCCCTCTCAACACTTCCATCTTTGGCTGTCTCATCACAGCATTCTACTGCACTGCCCGCATTGGAGAATTCACAGTCCCGAACCTCTCCACCTTTGATCCAAATATCCATGTCAAGCTTTCAGACATGTGGATTGATTGGGACCGAAACAACCTCCAGATGCAAGTGTTTCACATTCCTCGCACAAAGACAGCAGCAGAAGGCCAAGAAGTGTCATTCACACAACAGAATGGTCCCTCAGACCCTGAAGCTGCATTCTTACATCACCTAGCAATCAATGAGCCCCCACCAGGCAGTGCTCTTTTCACATACCGATTCAAGAACAGTCATCGCCCATTAACGAAGCAAAAATTCATAATGCGCCTCGCTCAAGCAGCCCGAGCAGCAGGAATGGACCCTTTGCAAGGACATGGAATTCACATAGGTTCTACCCTGGAATACCTACTATGAAATGTTCCCTTTGAGGTTGTCAAAGTGAAAGGACACTGGAGCAGCGATGCTTTTCTGCTGTACTTGTGGAAACACGCACAAATTATGATGCATATATGCAAGCTGTTCCTGCCTTTCATGAGAACTTTGTAAGGTTTGTGCTACCAAGAACTCCACAGCCATCTTCCCTCCTGTGAGTAGTCCTCTCCTCCTACAGTTTTGGGGTTCTACGGCATCACTGCAATGCGTTGTTGTGGACTCCTACCAATCAGGGGATTCGCAGCTCACACTATCCTGGCAGGTCTTTGATTGGGGCCGGTTAGCACTTCGTGCTATCGCCCATTATCTTAGCACATTGTTCATTCTCCAAAGTTGAATTGTAACTATGCACCCAATACACTTGATTAACCTCTTCTCTCAAGTGTCAGAGCATCTCCCAAAGATTACCACTCTATCACGAAGTAAGGCACGAGCGAAGAGTTAGAGTTTAGTCTTCGGGTGAGTGGAAAACACTGGTGTCTCTTGTTTCCGCTCCCTCTAGTAGAATCCTCGATGCATCCTGTGTCAAGCCATTGTCTTTCCCCACCCTCCACTCCCTTTCCACCATATCGATTCATCAGAACCGCAATGGTGGGCCTCACATTACAAAAACACTCCTATGGACCCAATCACCTTGTTCTTTCTAGGATCCCTGCGAGGCCGGCCACCCACCCTCACAGCTCACACCATCCTGGCAGGTCTTTGATTGGGGCCAGTTAGCGCTTTGTGCTATCGCCCATTATCTTAGCACATTGTTCATTCTCCAAAGTTGTATTGTAACTACACACCCAATACACTTGATTAACCTCTTCTCTCAAGTGTCGGAGCGTCCCCCAAAGAATGTCTACCTTGTCTAAGTCTGTCTACATTGTCCAACCTGTCCTGTTGGTCTAAGTCTGTCCACATTGTCTACCCTGTCCTGTTTGTCTACATCTGTCTACATTGTCTTATCTGTTCAACCTGTCCAATCTGTCCTATCTGTACATTATGTGCCTATTTGTACTGATTGTAATACTCTGTGACAGGCTTGTAAAGAGGGAGCCCCTTCAGTGACAAATTCCGTATTATACGGGTCACCCGACCTATATAATATCCCGTATAAGACAGACCAGTGGACTATGGGCCAATGTTATGTATATCCCCGATGTTGACGGATGGGCTGGGAGGGATATTATTTCCGATGGAGATGGGTGGGCCCATCTATGCTGATATTATATATATACTTGAAGATGTCAGGTGGGCCGATGTAATGGTTTATTGTATAGATGGGTGGGCCGATGTACAGGAAGTATTTTGTACACGGGTGGGCCAAGGGAGTGGTGGAATATGTATTATATAGACGGGTGGGCCGATGTAAGGGTTTATTGTATAGATGGGTGGGCTGACATACTGGAATTATTTTGTAGATGGATAGGCCGAGGGAGTGGTGGAATATTCATTATATAGATGGGTGGGCCGATGGAGGGGGATGTTATATAGACGGGTGGGCCAAGGTAGTGAGATATCTGTCTGACATTCACAGATTACCGAGTCCCAGATGCCCAAAAACTGAATCCCATTGTGCAACATCCATTCTGGACACCCAAACACCCCAAGCTCGAGACTGGAAACTGGAAACTTGTGAAAATGTGTGAAATTTCTATTTCCTTACACCAAACACATGAACACCTGAACACCCAAAGCCTGAAGCTTGAAAGTCCAGTTATCAAATCACTGAGTGCCGAGTCCTGATAGACCTGAAGCCTGAGACCCAAAATCCAAATCCCGGAACCCAAAAACATGTATGCAAAATGTCCATTTTTCATTCATTGCACAAATCAACAAGTGTCAAGTGACAAAACCCGAAACTCAAGACCCAGTACACAAATCACCAAGTACCAAGTGCCGAGGGCCGAACCCCAAAGTCCGAAACCTGAAAACATGTATATAACATATCCATTTTCCAGTCATTGCACAAATCACCAAGTGTTGAGTGCCAAAACCCAAAACTTGAAACCCGGTATGCAACATGCCCATTTTTCATTTACATTAAACAAATCATTGAATGCCAAGTGCTGAGGCCTGAACCCTGAAACCCGAAAATATGTATACAACATATCCATATTTCCCTCACTGCACAAATCACCGGGTGTCGAGTACCAAAACCTGAAACTTGACACCTGGTACACAAATCACCAAGTGCCAAGTGCTGAGGCCCGAAGCCCAATGTCTGAAGCCCAAAACCCAAAGCCCCAAACCCGAAAATATGTATACAACATATCAATATTTCACTCATTGCACAAATCACTGAGTGTCGAGTGCCAAAACCCAAAACTCAAAGCACGGTACAAAAATCACCAAGTGCCAAGGCCTGAACCCTGATGTCCGAAGCCCGAAACCCGAAGCCTGAAACCCAAAAATATGTATATAACATAACATATCCATATTTCCCTCACTGCACCAATCACCAAGTGTCAAGT